CTTATGTGGTAGTCTCATCATATGGATAAACATAATAAGTAAAAAGTGCAAATTGACAGTGTGAATACACATGTACTAGTTGTAATAAGAATAACAAAGACCTTAATCAATGTTTCACAAGAGGAAATAAGTCAATGACGTAAAAAATGTGAACGCTTAGATAACAATCATAAAAACCATAAAAGCTAATTGGAAAGCGAAGAGTGGATCTTAGTGAAAGAAAAACCGGGAGTTGAAGAAAAATAAGTAAGAACAGGGTATCAAGAATAATAATAAGACATCTTATTAGGTCCACATTACTTCCACATAAGATTTCATAGGTTAGGTAGACCTCATGGCAGATACACAATTTTAGGCTTAGATCTAGTATTATTTCTTATGTCGTCTTCGCCCTATTGACCAAATTTCTTACCATTCCTCACGATTATTGCGTAGGCTTTCCATCACTGAATTCACATTGTTTTTACATGGAATAGTGTTCGGACCCAGGCAGGTTAATCTTTCAGGCATTTACCGATTCATGAGACGATTCTGTAGTCCACTAATATCTGTTGACCTTCTGTTTGTGGTTGCTTACTTACTCACTTGCGCTCGTTGTTCCCAATGAAGCATAAACCGCTGACCAGCCTTCTCCAACCCTTTTTGTCGTGGAGTATCCTTTCTAGTTCTGTCCAATTGTTGTTTACTCTTTTCATGTCTATCACCATTTCTCGGCGTAATGTGTTTATTGGTCTTCCTCTTCTCTTTTGGCTTTGGGGATTCCAAATAAAGGCTTGCATTGGATGCTATTTTTGATATGTCCTATCCACTTCCTGATTTCTTCTTTCACAGGAGTCCGTTATGTTCTCTCCCATAGTAGGCTGTCACTGATAGTGTCTGGCCAACGAATCTGAAGTATTTTGTGCAGACAGCTGTTAACAAACACTCCTATCTTCTGAATGATTACTTTCATAGTTCTCCAAGTTTCCGCCCCATACAGTAGAACTGTCTTGACATTCGCATTTAAAATCCTGAACTTGGTGTTGGTTGACAATTTTTTGAGTTTCGGATGTCCTTCGATTATGGATATACTGCTCATGCCTTGCGGACACGCACCTTCACATCCTCATCAGATCCCTGGTTGTGGTTACTAACAGATGTCGCTATTGCTATTATCGTTGTCTGTATAACTCTGGAGAAGCATAGGCCACCCACCAGGATTCTCCAATGAACTTCATCCGAGGCAAACTCCCAGTTGTTCCAAAATGCCATTTATCCTTTTTATGTCCGCTTCCGATTCCCGACGCCATGTGTTCCTTGGTTTTCCTCTTTTCCGTTTCCCTTCAAGATCTCTAGTTGGCGTTTGCCTCGTGACACAGTCTGATAATTACCACGACGAATGTCCTTTATACCTCCATCGTCTTTTCCTGATTTCATCTTCAATTGGAAGTCGGCCTTTTCTCACCTACAGTAGGCTGTTGCCGATGGTATCCGGACAACGGATATTGAGTGTCTTGTGTAGACAATTTTTCATAAATAATTGTGACATTTTGATGATGGCTGTGGTAGTTCTCGATGTTTCAGCTCCGTACTTTAGAACTGTCTTTACGTTCGTATTGAAGATTGTGACTTCGACATTGGTTGACAGTTGTATTGAGTTCCTCATGATCTTCGATTATATGAATGCGGCTCTTGCTTTACCATCCCACAAATTTGCGTCTGTATAAGATCCTCCTTCTTCATTGATGTTGCTGCCCAGACACTTGAAAGTTTTCACCTCTTCCAGAGCTTCTTCATCGAGTGTGATTGTATTTATGTTCTCTTTGTTGTATATGGAGATCTTGCCTTATCTCCTATGTATGTTGAGGCGTACTGATGTCGAGGCTGTTACTACACTAGTTGTTTTCATCCGCATTTGTTGGTGTGAATAGGATAGAAGAGCTAGGTGATCTGAGAAGCTCGAATCATCCAGTAGCATCCAAACTGTTAATTTTATTCTGTGATCCTCTCAGATGAGGTCTTCATAATCCAGTCGACCACCCGAATAAGTGGAAAGGGGGAGAGTAAGCAGCCTTATTTGACTACAGTCCTCACTTGGAATGTTTCTGTCGTCTGTTCTCTATTCACCACCCTGCAGTTCAGTTCGACGTATAAACCCCGTACGATGTTGTCGATTTTCTCAGCTACTAACATCATAGTGTCAAAGGCGTTCCCATAATTTTCTCACATCCTAACTGTTAAACGCCTTCTGATAGTCAAGAAAGTTGATGTGTGGTGACAAGCTCCATTCGGCTGATTGCACAACAATGGTCTGTAGTGTCGCCATTTGTTCTGTATCAATAGATCCTTGAGGAAGTCAGCTTAATGATCTCGAATCAGGGTTTCTACTGAATCTTTCATATGCTTCAGCAACACACCGTTGAAAACGTTTCTTGGTACCAATATTAGTGTGATACTTCTACAGTTCTCACATTTGCTCAGATCTACTTTCTTTGGTATCTTGATGAAGTCTCCTTCTTTCGAGTCTGTTGACACACGTTTTTTCTCCCGAATTTTCCCGAATTGCCTGATGGCTATCCTGATCTCTCCCACCGTTTATGGAGTGACTTATGTAGGGATGTGGTCTGCCGAACTGTTCGTGTAGAATATTAATAACCTTCTTCTGGTAATAAAACACAGTGCTCTATAGCATCCTTTGCTATGCCGGAGATATGGAGTGCTAAAATGGCACGGGATTTCGGAGTCTAGCTACAAAAGCATATTGACCTATTTGATGTTATTAACTGCTTTAATATAACCTTCTTCTGGTAATAAAACACAGTGCTCTATAGCATCCTTTGCTATGCCCTCACAATAGTGTATCAGGTACATTAATTTCTGAGTGTCATCATTTACTCTGTCGGCTATGTTAGCCTTGAATCCCTTTATGAACGTCCAAAATTTCAGAGGGCTTCCGTCAAACTTCATGACTTCTATCTTCGGTAAACTGGCAATCATAAATAGTGACTTGACACTATCCACCTGTGCTTTGAGTTGCATTTCATCGCTCGGATATCCAGTTGGTTGAGTGAGGTAGGTCCGTAGTATTACGATCTACTTCGTTATTAGCACTGCTCTAACAATAGACTACAGATCCTGTATGTGTGTTCCGGAGATATGGAGTGCTAAAATGGCACGGGATTCCCGAGTCTACCTACAAAAGCATATTGACCTATTTGATGTAACTTTTCAACATTTAGAGGTTCAGTGTACGTTTTAGTGAAATGTTTGATGAAACCAGAAAGAAATCTCTTGAACTCAAACAGATGGCACTGTTGGTTCATGAAAATGAAGTCTTCGGCGAGGGGTTTGTGATAGGGATGGAAGAAATACCAAGAGACATGGGTATTTGACTATGAAAAAAATCTCTAGTGTTGTTAGAGGTATGAGAGGAGTTGATGCTTCCTGATTGTTCATTCTGAGAAACTAAACTAGCAGTGAATAGGTCTTTATTAAGGGTCGTGGCACATTCACAAGGGAGTGGGTAGTTACCTGTTTGATCACACATAGCTTTTCAACATTCAAAACATAAGAATATAGGAAATATAGTGCCTATACGAAATGAGGAAGTGAATGAATAATTGAGCTCTATTGTTGTTTGACTTCAACTCTTAACTAATCAACCCAAGCTGTTACAAATGTACTTAGGCAAAGAGAAAAGCATGACAAGCACAAAATCACTGTAACATAATGCGTAAAAACCGACTAAATACGTTGCACACTGAGAGATGCGAATTTACTGCTCCCTTTCGAATATGGAAATTTATTGTCTCCTTTTTACTCATAAATGGTAAAAGTACTATGAGGCGTATCCGAAAGCGAGCAACAAGATCAGTTAGTGAGTCGGAATTTGACTTACGAGCAGCTCTTCAAATCACTGGATATTAATCATTTGAGTTATAAGGGGCTCAGAGCCGTCTTCCATTCATCAATTTTATGAGAGAGTTGAATTATCTTCCTCGTATTCCGACTAATATTTTGGCTCCTACTAACATTCGACCAATGATTACTCCTTTCTTTCACATAATTCATTAAATATAAGTGCATTTTCAGTCTTGAGTAAATAATAGACCCTCACACATCTTTAACATACTTTTGTTCTGAGTTATTACATTTCGCGAGTGTCAGGTTTTGGAGAGATGTTTACGACAAACGTGGTAAGCTAGCATGTCAGGAATATATGACTCAGCTTCTCAGTTGTAGTATGCCCTCAAATCTTCGAAATTCAAATTGTTACATTTGCGACAAGTCTTAAATTGCATACTCAATTAAGGTCATTCCACCTAAAATTGTCATTAGTTGCGAAAGATCTAGTTAACTTGATATCCCGTACTTTCATGTCTTCTAACGGAAAAAATGTCTTTCGGGAAAAGATTGCTTCGGAAACTTTGAAGCTCGCGTGCAGCCACAATTATTTACCATTTAGCTTTCGGCACTTTTATGGGACCTCGTAAAGAGTATGGAAAAATTGTGTTTCCTCCTTAACTACAAAGAAGTGTATCAGAAGGCAACTGAATACATCAGTCGTCAAACCAAGATTCAAGCCTTCCAACGGAAAACTATAATGTATAAACCCTCGAATTTTTTAATACAGGCGGCTGAAGACCGATAGTCTTTTGTATTACATCACCTTGGACTCTCCTGGAATACCTACTTGAATGCTATTGAGACCCGAATTTTGGGAAATACTAGGAAGTTAGGTGTTGACTACAGTTACTTGTACCGTATGAACAGGTTCTAAACCTTATGGCTAGTAAAGTCTTCGAATCCGCTACCAGCTGAAGTGGTTCAGACAACTTATCAAGAGCCATACAAGATATATTCATACGGATCACTAATAATCAGAGGGAAACTAGCCTATAGCTTCTCCCATTTCGTCCATAATAATTTGATTCGCTTGATTGACCTTAAGTTTGAGCGGAATTTCAAGACCCCGGACTACACGGTCAGTCGTAGGCTTTTAGATTCAATGTTGTCGAGGTATGAAGTTAGTCAGGTTTTCTACCATATCTATTCGTGGCATGACGTGCAATTCATGTGTCCAGCTTATAGAATCAGTCATCAACAAGCAGTTCAATGTGATTTTTGTCAATGTAAGTTATATTTCAAGACTTATAATTGTAAATCATCTTTCATTTGATCCTGTTCTCACTTTTTTGATTTCTTAAATGCTGGACTCTATATTTATGGTTAGGCTTTTCGCGCAAAAATGCGTTGAACCTGTCGAAGTTGTGGGTTTTATCCAAGCTGCGATGTGTACTGTTACATTTGAAGGAATTTAACAAGTAAACATTAAAGGGAGAAAACATAATATCGTTAACGGCTACACATTTTGTACAAAGTAGGTTGTTCGTGTCGGCAAGGGCGTAGTTTTTGTGCAATCAGCCTACTTTTTTATCATAATAATGGTAATGAACATTTTATAGGGAAATCCAAAAAATAAAATATAGAAATACTGAACCACTCTGTGCCGATTCTTCACACAGGTTGCAACAGTTCAGTGGCAATAGCAAGTTATTCCTGAAGCTCAGATAAAATAGTGGTCGGCTGAAACTTTCGAAAACGTTATTGTTTTTAAAACTCGTTACATTTCGAGATATTGACGCTTACTACTGGTAGATTGGTAAGTCAGGTAATTCACTAGTTTTGATCACAGCTGCCATCACGCGGTGCCCAGGCATGTCTATCATGGTATTCTCGTCACCTTTTGTCTGCTGGAACATTTGTCCTCTGAGTTCTTACCGTAACAGACACGTCAGTTGGAGAGCGATAAAACTATTAGTAGATTTCAGATACAAGGGAAATCGTATGCTTTTGACTTCAGCGATGTTTTTTGCTTATAGTCAGTGCCTCCATGAGCAATAATTTCTTGAAAACGACAAAAGGAACTGTAGGCGGATCTCATTTAACTATGATCATTTTTTATGATCGCAAAGCTTTAAGTAAATTTTCAGGTTATCCAGAACAATAAGAGTTTAGTAAGCTAACATACTGATCAACTCTCTAGGGTGCAAATGCATCTATTGGATTCCAGAAGGTCGGTGTATATGTTGTTTTACCTACGGGCGTTTGTATTTCATAAATACTTAGGTTTGCGGCTCAAAATCGTTTGCAATTGCTCAGGTGCATACATTCTTTGTCTTCCATCAAATTCTGAGCCTCTGATTTCCTCACAACTATTTTTTTGTTTTTAGTTCGTCAGCTTGTATTTTCTTTAATTGTATCCCCGATCCTTAATCTTTTCTATCACCACTAGGATTGTTACTACCTTTAACACTATGGAATTTGACCTGATATTTTCATCTCTCTGTCCTAATGGTGTATGATAACCTGAACTGATGTACATACGTACTAAATTTTACGTTGTGACTGGTTGACTGAAATAGTCCCCTGTATAGTTTGGGTAGTTTTTGGCTTCTTTGTTTGGTGTATCTGTAGTTATTGAATATTTAATGATGCTGTTGTTTGGATTTCCAGAATGTATCCTGGATTTTAAGTCAGTACATTTTATATCAAATTCTACTAACTTTTCATCCAGGTCTCCCTTAAATTTGAACGCGCGATTATTATCTACGATGAAGAAAGCAGTATCACTCCTGAGTGTCTTGCAACCACCGTCAATAATATGGGTTTTGAAGCAAAACCAATTTTTTACGAAATGGAGACATTTCCTGATTGTTTGGATAAAACCAGTGGTAAAGCTTTAGAGACGTGTTTATATGTTGAAGACCTCATTTCCACTGACTGTGAAGATAGGATTAATCAATCTCTTGTATGTTTACCTAATTTAGTCACTTTTCGGATTAATACATCATCATCTACTGTAGAAATATGGCACTTACAGCAAGTAACAACATCTGGTAAGTTATTTATTCATTCGTAAAGTGTGTTGATGCCTTTAAAACGCTAAAAATAGAAATACTACAGTAGGGGATACTATTCACATCTTCAAGTGACAATGACATGTTTATAGTTCTTGCATAAATGTCGATCATACTGCTTAACTAAATGAAAAGAGGATGCATTCCACAGATTTTAGAGAAGTAGATGATTTGTCGGAATAGTCGACACTAATGTTTTAGATGCCAATTGATTGGCTACCACTAAGCCGGCAACCATACCACGTTGAAAGCACCGGTTCTCGTCCGGTTATCACTAAACATACATATATCATCCCTTCAGTCCTGCAAATTATTTCCCAGTTTTTTTTATATATATATGAATGCATATAATTAAAAGTTGACTGATTTTGTCTACAAACCATGTGTATAGTTGTGATACCTTGTAATAAATAATTTAAGGATTGACAAGGCGAAAAGTTCGTTTATCTAGGGAACAGTCGTTTGGTCCTAGTATGGGACTCCTTAGCAGTGTGCATTTACGACAGCGCACTCGGGGCTAGAACCCCCGACCTTTGGTCTTGTTCATGAACACTTAACCTCTAGACCCTTGGGCTGACATCTAACTGTGTTAATTTCTAACTTCAACCAATCCACAACAATGCGCGGCCACCTTCCATTTTCTTTGATTCATGATTTAAATGAGATTCAATCATCTCCACAACCTTTTACAAGTATCATGGGCTCACTAGTGACTAGCTTCGAGAGGTGATTCTCGGAGTCCTTGTGTAAATCTGTGATCACTGGAGTTCCACTGTGTTAGGTGTGAGACAGTTATCCACTTAAGACATTGATGGTCGCACAATATCGTGGATTGGTTGAAGTTAGACATTAATACTGTTGGGTGCCCGCTCAGTGATCTAGAGGTTAACCGAAGGCTCGGACTTCGAGTCCCGCGTGCTGGATCGTGGATGTGCACTGCCGAGCAGTCCCATACTAGAGCGAAACGACCATCCTGTGCTTCCAGGTCTTCACTGGTGATCTAATATATTCTTTATGTTAAACATATGTATTTACCTTCATTTAATGTTACCTTGTAGATTTGATAGATTGTGTCAGTAAGGCAGGATTTAAGGCCATTACGAAACCTCAAACAGTTTCTATATGCACAAACGTTTCAACTTCAAATAACAGTAGAATTCCATCATCAATGAAATCTGAATGTCTGTCAACTATTCATCTATCTAACAAAGCGAATTTGCAAAGTTTTCATCAAAATCTTTTGATTGTCAAAGTTGACGGAGTAATTAATACTATTAAATTACATGAACTACTTCAAGCATATCTTGGTTCCATGAATCTTTCAAACTGTGATTTGCATGTTTTGGCTTCGTCTCAGAATGGAATGTTGTTAACTATCAATATTTTATCTCCTATTCCTTGTGACTCTTCAAATAAAGGTGTTCGGCTAGTTACAGTTGATTTAATGAAACAAATTTCTGACTTTTTAACTTCTAAAAAATATCCAGCTGCTCGAATAAAATTGCTTAATTCAGTTGCAAATAATTCTGAAGTGTATAGCGTTTCTAACCATGGTGATCAAAATGCGACAAATGATCACCCTTCTAGAGACTATACAAGTAAAGTAAGTTGATTACTATTGTTGTATCGTTTTCATATAGTCGAATATTACTTTGCCAATTATAACCATTAAAATATTGGAGTTGTGAAGAATTATCCAATGCTTAGTTTCACACCACCAAACCTGAATGCTTAAGGACCATTGGCGAGATTGTGGATGTTCATAACTAAAACAAAACGGTTGTCTAATGCCCCCTAATTTTAAATGATTCTTCGGTCGATCTTAGTCTGTGATGTAAAATCTTGGAAGATTTGTAACCGTCTGAATACTTTAAACTGACTGAACAGTTGCGTTAGGTTATTGTTCTACCCACAAAAGCGACATTTTATGATCTTTATTTCATTCCTACTCATCCAGATGAGTGTTCAACGACCTGTTTGTCATTCAAGTTAAACCTACCCTAATATGATGAGTTAAACGTTCTTGTTAGTGGTAAGTGGTTTACCTATAGCTTGTGAAAATATCATAGGGTAGTGTACTTAGTTGAATAATATAAGTTCCATATTAATTTCTTTGTATATAATGACTTTCCGTTTGATTCTAGTTCTTTATAAGAACGCCCCCAAATGCCCTGGTACGGCCGAGAGTGGGGAGAGTCCGCTCTCCATCTCGAAATGCTCTCACACGGCCACGCGTATATAGCCTCTGGCAGGGAAGTCCTACTCACTGCCTTCTCGTGGCGGGGGTGTTGTTTACGAAAATGAGAGGACGAAAAGCGAATGTCCGGCGCTTTAACCGGATTCCAAACCAATGGTCCACATGGGCTCCACTATCCTGAAGGAACAAATGGCGTATGAACCAATTGCTGGTCACCGGCTTCCATGGGACTGCATCTCCTTACGATGCTCCACTGCCTTGTGGATCAGACCATTAGGTCAAAGGCTCGGGGTGTGGCCCCCTAAGAAAACCACCTGCTTCGGTCTGGGCACCCGGGCAGTATCATAGCCCTCACACATATCGAATAAGATTTGTGTGGCGCACATGTATTTGGTGCCTCTTTGTACCATTATCTATGTGTTGAAATAATAATCTTTATAAGAACTAGAATCAATCTTTTGAGGTCTGAAAACCACTAATGACTAATTATTTATTGCTTGCTGTCTGGCTAATGATTACACTACGTCAATAAACATACTATATTTCAGTCAGTCAGTAACAACATACGTACGTACATCAGTTCGAGTTGCCACACCACATTAGCACAGAGATGCAGTTTTCGATTCAAATCCCGTAGTGGTAGTAAGAGTATAAGCAGTAATCGAAAAGATTAGGGTTTGAAGATGATATTCAAGGAGTATAATCCAGTGAAATAAATTTGGAAAGAGGAAAATAGGGACATAAAGAACCCAGAAGACTAGGATTTATTTTCGTATAAACTTTTATGGGTTTGAAGACGTAGAGAAAGCACTCCACTTTAATGTATTTTTAGCATACTAGATCATCCAGTGACTTCGTATGATCTTTTTATAGAGAAAGAGTACTTTGAAAAATTTTGTTTTATCGGATATTCTCACGAAGGTTTATTTAAACATTGGGAAATTAAGAGCTAGTTACAAATATTCTGACGAGTCTATAACCATTAACTGCTCATTGAAATAAATCGTTGAGTAAACAAATATGATAAGCCTCATAAGTTGCGGCTACATAAAGTGGAAACCTAAGTTTTTATTTCTACAATCAGAGTTTGTAAGTTAATGCAACTAATTAATTTCCAATCTTATTCAATGTATAATCTAGCCTTAATACGCTTCTTTAAAGATGATTAATGGAATACCTGTCTCTTATTTTTGTTGTCTAGCAAGTTGTGTTGAAGACAGTTTTAGGATTCGAACAAACATGTGCCGAATAGGTGAATTTTAAAAATCACTGAATGCATTAGTTGATCATTTCATTCACAGAATGTATAGTAGATCTTTGTCGTTGACCAAGATTGTGATTTTTTAAAAGTTTTGTTCACTTATAATAACTAATACTCTAAATCCACCTTGGCAAATTAGTTATCTTTCGTTTCATCTGTTTTTCTTATGAATGATGCCCCAGCTGGATAGTTACGAAATCACTGTTTCCATATACGGAATGCACTGCCATTCATGTGTACGAAAAATTGAATCGTATTTCAACGAAGAATCAGTTAAGCAACTGTACAATATAAAGAATTGTTCTGTTTCACTATCAGATAAAGAGGGCAAATTCACACTGGCGAAGAATTCAAAGGTACAAGCGTTGACCCAGGATGATTTGGTTCACATCACTTCAGATCTATTGGAGATTAATGTTGACAAAATTCATTTAGAATTACAAAAGCTTGGGTTTCAAACATCATCTGTTACAAGTGATTCAGCAAATGTGGACATTCTTCCTTCTGATCAAAATGGTACGAATAAAGCATGAACTTATTAGGAAAATGCTTCCGTTTACCAAATTCACTTGTAAATAAAAATACAAAGAAATGAGTAGTGTTTTTGTATTGCTTACTTTCTCAGTGATGAGACTAAATTTAAACAGTTCTGAAGATATAGATTGTAAAACGTTTAATAAAATATACTGTTACTCAAACTCCACAAAAGGTTTATCGACTAAATATTGTGTCATACATGTCGTGAAATTCAATGGTACTGACCTGCTGAACAAATCTCGAAAGGCCTTCGAAACCATTATATATATATATATAGCCATTGGAAATCATGTTGCTAACCGATAAAACAGTGACATACAATATGAGCATTGAATGGTTACTCAAAAATATTTCGAATATGTTCAATTATAACTAGAATAGTAAAAATGTGTTCCTTTTTATTAAACCACTTTGAATCCCGATTACAAATAACATTTAAGATCTTACCAAATGAAGTTGTTTATTTGAATCCTGTTTCACTCATGTCCGTCTCGACAATCAGATTGTATCAATAGCCTTCACTTTAAGAGTGTAAGTACAAGCCGCGTACACGAACATGTGCATAGTAAAATACTTTCATTGTATTGTTAACTGTTATAATATGAAGGCAGTATCAAGTGCACTTCATCCACTTCGATCTGAAATGCTGGTCGATTGTATCTTGAACAGTTCTTCGTTAACATCACTGTTACGCTTAGTAGTCACAGCAATCACATACATACGTTGTTTGATTGATAAAAATGGTAAGGACCGGTTGTCAAGTATAATTTCACTTTATGTTTGACTACATATACTTTATTTTGATATGAAGTTTCGAGGGAATGAAAAGAGGGATCAGAAGCCTTATCTGGAAATTGCAACTCACTTAAAAAAATCACTTTTTATATTAACTTTTAGCCTAATTATTAAAAGAGTTTGATTACGCAATACATCACTTGTTTGGTGTACTGTCCAAATCAATAGGATAATCGTAGGGATCTCCCTTTTTAAAACCATTTTCATTATTTCACGCTGAACATTCATTCTTACATTGACAGTGCAATGAACGAAGCCTTGTGGTAATGATCAAACTAATTCATGACACTATTTCATTAGGTTGCCGCTATATAATCAATGTAAGTCATGTAACAAAACTGTAGAATCCTCTGGTTAAGTAAACTGTACAAAATGGTAGAAATTAATAATACGTACTTAAATAAACTATCATACGCATCTTGGCATACTTAGTTTTAGTGAATTCTTTTTAGTATTTCAACTTTTTCATCCCCCGCCTTATTAGTTTTCTATCCTTATAGTATTGTATAAAATATGACAGAATTGAAGTAATCCATTGTTCTCATTTATACTTAATGATGTTTTTTTATACTTAGATCAACTACAACTTTCAACTACAGTAAATTATTTATCTGAAGTTCCATTAAACGATTATTTACCTAATACCATTCCATATTCATCGTCATCATCATTACTATTATCTAAAAAAAATTTGTGCACAAATCCTACTACTACCACTACTACGTTATCCAACTCTAATGGTCATCTATCAACATCCTTATCATATCAAACTAATGGAATAAATTTAAATGTACATCATAAAAAATGTTATTTACATGTTACAGGAATGACTTGTAGTTCATGTGTACATAATATTGAACAGAATTTATTAAAATTAAAAGGTTAGAACGTTTTAATATTTCTTTTTTAAAATGTTATTTTGTTTTTCCAGTTAACATTTAAACTTGCTTAAGGCAAAACAAAGGAATTACAATTTAGTTGTATATAATAATATTCTATCTTATTCAACTTGTACTGTCACTCACGTTTCATTCTCTTCATGAATTAAGAAAATCCGAACAATATCAATCATAGGAAATTCGTTTTACTTAGTAGTTAAAACTTAATTTTTGCACTTTATATGAATAAATTAGTCGTTACCTCTTGTTTAACTAAAACACTACACCATGTATATAAGTGTGACTTGAAAATAGTGTTAACTTTCAACCGTGTTGAACGTACAACAAGTCTAAGCAATGACAATTGATGATAGTTACACAATATCAAGAATCGATTGAAGTTAGAAATCTAAACATTCGGATACTAGCTCAGTGGTTTCAATGTCGAGTGCTCAAAGCGAAACCTGAAGGCTCCGCGTTCATTCTCTGGTGGTGTCTTATTACCGAGTAACCTAATATTATCATGAAACCGCTATCCAGTACCTCCTGGTTTTCAAAGGTGACTGAAATCAGTCCATTATATGAAATTTCAAATTCAACACTGCCTACAACACATAATAATAATAATAGTTTTCAAAATGTTTGAACTAGACATTTCAATGGTAGACAAAAAATATCACAAAACGGAACCTTCTAAACTATTTATTTATTTTTTCTTAACACTGAACAGCCAACCATTTGGTACATGAATTAGTTATATTTTGACTGGTTAAAAGCTTACTATCAGGCAATAAAATATATAAAATCATGTTGTTTTCAAACGGGAACCACTAATCCTTGAATATCGTGTGCACAGATGCCAAGTCCATTTATTCAATTTGTTATTGTTTATATCAATTCTCTAGTAACATTGATGTATGACTTCTGTATTCTTAATATCATAGTTTTGTTGTCGAACTTTTCAACTGTCAATACTTTTAAACAGGAGAGTGGCGCTCCCTAAGAAAACCTCCCGGGTAATATTCCAGCCCTCACATAAATCAAATGATATGTGTGGTGCATATATATTTGGTGCCTCTTTGTACTAAGGTTCATGAGTTTAAATAAATAATAAATAAACTTTTAAGCACTAATGTATGAAATAGTAAAATTAAGAAAACTAGTATCTCAGATTGAAACTTTATTTTAAAAATTAGTTTGTACAAAATTTTCACACTCAATGTTTTACCTCTTTAATCTCGCATAATCGAGCACAATTTTTAACTTCTTAATGTATTTACTTTTCCTCCCTTGTAAAATAAACAGACACTTGAACTTTATCATCTGTTCCTTTTGTTTTCGCTCTCTCCATTCTTATTCAATGATTTTTGAAGTTTGTGTAAACTTCTGAAATGTTGGAAGAGTCGCTTCAAATTCATCTACCTTATAGTGTTCCATTCCTTTTGGAAAACTATAACTTACACATCAACTTCAGCAACTTGGGTGAAATATTTTCTTTTAATTACGTTTATATAGAAAAAAGAATGAAATTGATCCAAATATAGATAGATTTACATGTTGTTCTATTGAATTCCGTGAATAACACTAGTTTTCATACCGTGTGTTTATTTTTTGTTTGTTTTTTCTCTCTTTTCTGCTGTAACTTCCCAGGTGTTCACTCTGCTTTGGTTGCATTAATTGCTATGAAAGCAGAAATCGTCTATGAACCTACTTTAATCACTGTTAAACAATTAATTAAAAAAATCGAAGAATTAGGTTTTTCTGCAACATTATTAGAACAACATGATAATTTACATGGAAATACTGGACGGGGAACTATTCATTTCACGGTTAGTATGGATTAATATGTATACAATTTATGTGTGATGTAAACGTAATCATATCAAAACTATCAGTTGAATTGACTAACAATGATTTTAAGTAGAGTTGAGGAACTATGATAAACTCAAAGTAGTCAGTTTGACTGATACGCCTTTTTAAATCATAGTTTCCCCAATCATCAAGAAATAGAAAAAGCTCGAAAACTGGCTAGTTATTCCACAAAACCATGGTTATGTCGATCAATAGCTATCTTTTTGTTCAGATTTTGACACATGGACATACTTATTAGCGTTCGCCTGTTGCCATATTTGACCTAGAGACATTATTCTACCTCGTCGATCAACAGCCACTAACTGTCATGACAAAAATATGCGTCGCTTAACAAGAAGCTCTTTATTTGTATATCATTGAAATGAGCTATTATTCTAAGTAACTATGTTTAGTGGTGTTCGTCGGCTGTGTTAGCTGTTTATTTTACACAGCTTACTTGTAGTTGGATTGTAAATTATGCTTTATTCGACTTTTCAGCCATTGATCTACTACCCGCAGATTCACTTATCAACTAGTACCACGTAGATCAAATATCGCTGTCATCTATACTAGAACATATAATTATTCCTGGTGAGTCTGTAACTATGGAGACTTCACAGTTATAGAAAGTTTGTCTCACTTTTGTTGACAAGATGTTTATCCTACTGTCAAAGGATAAGTTTATCACGAAGTGATCCACTTTAGTTTACGTTAGGATTGAGAACTACAACTTTCACGTATTATAAAGTCATGTACGAAAATTACTATATGTCATCAAATGGCTAGAATCTACATCACCTATCATCTGTTTAGTTGATTAATAAGTGAAAGTGAAAATAATGTCGATGAATGACACCCAGTCACAAGTTATAACTTGATCTAATGTTTTTAAAAGAAATAACAAGTGGAACAGTGGTTTATTGACTAGGAGGGGGTTCGACTTTCGACTGATAAGTTGCAGGTTTGAACCCCACTAAACGTACTTCGGCTTGCGAGACCAGATAATATTACCAGCCTTCACACTTGGAATGTGGTTCAAAACCGAGTACATGAATTTGTACCTCATAAATGAGTTTATAAAATAATTAGAATTATTGGATTTTATAACAGACACAAACACACTAATTTATGCATCAGTGAGGTAACGTCGATTTCAAGGAATTTTCGACATTGTGTTGTCCTCTTGTGTGTAATGTACGTCGAAATTACCAACCAGTAATATTTTCTGTGTGGGCTAACAATTTTTTTCAAAGAACTATGATGTTTTGACATATTTGTCCTGAAGCAGAATGTAATTGTTGAGTATGTCTGAAATATAGTTTTGTCAACGTATTTGGATAGGTGTATTTCTCTCTCTCTCTCTCTCTCTCTCTCTTTCATATCCATCTTAATTCCCTATAATTATTTTCAGATCCATGAACTATCAGCTAATCCTTCTGAATGTACAACAATTGAATCTACACTAAACAAAATTAAAGGTGTATATAGTGCTTCTTTAGACTTAAAAACAAAATGTCTTCGTATTGTATACAATCTGAATGAAATTGGACCTCGTGATCTGATAAAACAAATTGAAGTATGTTTTTTTCTGTGTGTATTTACTGTAATGTTTCATCAATTGTCATTAGATTGTAGATAATATAATGAGTTTAAATGTTCTAAATTCTATCAATATGTATGCGCGTATGTAATTTCTAGAATTTTGACTCAGTTGTATATCATCTATATTTCAATATAGTAATTTTAAAATGAAACACTTTAATCAGTTATTTGAATTCCTTTTTTGTATGGTTTATATTTATTTTTTCTTAAAACAAAGTTTATATCCAATCTAAAATTAGTATTATGACCGCATTAGTTTGGCACAAAAAATTTTTGCCAATGCATCAATTCAGTTTTATGTCAAAAACTTGTTAGTTGGATTGTACCAGTATCCTTAATGATTGTGAAATGTTCCCTCATTAGTCTTGACATACAATCCTTAATGTTTCGTTTCTTGCCAATCCATCTACTATTTGTGACAGGTTACCAGAACCTTTTTTCAGTTGGTATTGGCTATGACTTGATGGTTATACTTACACATACACCTACTCGTTGGTTTAAATTTGATCAAATTAATAATTTTCAGTTTGGGATTGTGGAGATTTTTGGATTTCATTTAGGTCATGAACCGATCGATATTAGACCACCGTTGAAAACCTGGGGGCACTAGACGGGTGTTTCGTCCTAGTATGGACTCCTCAGCAGTGTGCATCTGCGACCCCGTCCTGGGCTGAAACCTCGCGCGCGGGATCCTGAATACTCACTTCTGAGGAATTCCATGTTAGGATAAAACAGCCGTTCAGTGCTTCCAGGTTTTTAATGGTGGTCTAACATCGATCGGTTCATGATTTCAGCGAATTAATGATGCATATTAGGTCAATATACGACCATAATTTTTTGTTATATCATGTGTTTGGTGTGGGATATTGGATGGACACTCAAAGCGAAGCTGCGGTTTTCTCAGGAGACAACTTGAGTCTTTAATCTATAAGTCTAATCCACAAGACAGTTAACCAACGTCAGAAGATACAGTCTCATGGTACCTGGTGATCGAGCTATTCCGGTCTCAACTACTCATTAAAATTGCGGGGACTTATCTGCAAATAAACCCCTAGTTAACTGATTATTATAGTTTAGATGGTATTCTTCTGGAGATTGGTTTAGTTTGTAAACGGTAGTCATCATCCATTGACCTCCTACAAATCAGTTTATCTTCACTAGAATCGTTCAACAAATATTGCATTTACTAATAATAACATAAAACAACTAATTATATCGATGTATAATGAGTATGTGTGTTGTAATTTTTCCGTATTCTGTTATGACCCCCAGTTTCTTTTTTATTTTTAGAATCTAGGTTATCAACCAGTTTTATGTCGACCTGAACAGAATTTGCATGAATCAAGTTCCTTACTTAGGTATGTCATATATATATATATACCTAATGTGTTTAGTCATTGACTTTATTTTTGTTTTGGCTTTGCTATTACGTGGAAATATACGCGAAATATCTCAACTTTAATGTTAATTATTTTAGTGTAGAGATTTTTCCAAGTTTAAAATTTGTTCCAGCTGATTTTGCCACAATGTCGACCAATGTCTCTCCCTCTCTCCTTGTCTCCAGCGTTTACACAATAAGTGTTTCTAGTACATACTAACCTACGCGTTAATTAATTTTTGAAAGAATCTGAGTTTAAGTCTAGAAATTAACATTCAATGTAGATATTATTTATTTCAACATTTCTTCGAAATGTCACTCAATGGTACTAGAATATAATCATCAGAAAATAATTTATATCTAAGGAGATATGATCGGCCCAGTCAATTGAAGTAAGGTGAGTAAAATACTCAACATTTAGTACACATGGTGTTGAGCAAATTAGGCTAGTCGTTATATTGCACACATAATCTATAGAATTCTATCACCACTAAAGGAACTAGACAAACATGACGTTGTTCACAACTTAGTAATCAGTAAATCTTAAATATATTTCATTCCTACAGAAAGTCGCGACCTGGGTAACTCAGTGGTAGTATCTTAAACTATAAACTATAAATCTCACAGGATCGGCCACCACAAGACTTGAAGGACAAGAATTCAATCCTGGTTAATAAGTTCGTTGATTGAAACTGCTGTCCATCTGTGAGTGAGGATAAAATAACTATTCAGAGCTCCATAGTTCCCAAAATTAAATTGATTTATCAAACTCCCCAGCTAAAAGATTACTTAATTACTTAACAGTTGTAATTATAGGGTTGTGGAGGTTGTTGAGTCTCATGGAGAATCATGTTAGACCACCATTAAAAACCTGGAAACACTGGACGGCTGTTCCGTCCTAGTCTGCGACTCCTCAGCAGTGTCCATCCAGGATCTAGGACCTGCGATCTCACACCCAAACGACTAACCGCTAGACCACTGAGCGGGCATCAAACGGTGTTAATTTCTAAGTTCAACTAATCCACATTATTGTGTGACCATACTTCACTTATAACAGAAGTCATGTCACAATCTGCTAGTTCTATTTGGTGATTATTCTATGCTTTTTGAATCCCTGACTAGCCCAGTATTTGGGTAGGAGAAAAAAAGGATCAAGATGCATCAACAGATGGATTCTACACTTCTTATTTGCTAATTGGCTTGGTGATAAAATAAGGTCCATGTAATCTTTCAGCATGATTTAACTTATCGAGAATTATCCGACATGTCTCCTCTCTCTTCTAAAAAATAAATCTATCTTCGTATCTGTTTAGATAACAAAATATCACGATGTATTTATGTATATAATCTTATAATAAATTTCTTATAAATTAACGTCTAATATCATTATTTATTTATTTATTTTTATTATTATAAAAACATACATAACTAAAATTGTCTAGATGGCGTAGTTCATTTTATTTCAGTTTAGTTTTTGCTATTCCAACAATGATGATTATGATTATTTTCATGTTATTATGGCCACATTATGTACCAGAAAGTTGTCCAGTACATTTTCGTGAAATATCAATTAATGGTCAACAACAACAGAATGTTCTAAATAATTCAAATATTACAAACGAACATACAATACACTATTTTACTACGCCTATGATAATACCTGGATTGTCAGTTGAAAATATGTTAATGTTTTTATTAGCTACACCAATACAGGTAGGTGAACTTTGTTACCATCGATATGTCTTCTTTTTTCATCTAAAATCTTGTCTTATAAATAGCTTAGAACCTGACTCATATGTATCGGTCAAGTAGCCATCTATCATATCACAATAGCCCCAAAGAAAAAGAGGGACACTAAAAACTTTACTAAACCACTCCTACCGTTTTTAAAACATTTATCAGCTATGGTGCCTAATCATACATTGCAATCCTCTCGATCTGAACGAAAAGGTTTACTACTCCTAACATGGCTCAGACCTTGTACCATGTTTTGGGTCACCCCTAGCATTCTTTCAATCTGTTCTTATGCTAGTCACCATTTCTATTTAAGGTAAACAATATAAACTTATAAATTATTGTCAACCAGTTGATCAACTCGATCGTGGCTGTTACTCTATGATGGTTGGGTTTGGTTATCATGATGACTAATTTGAGCTTTAATCACTGTAACGCTTCCTTTGGATCCTGCAATGCTAAACTTAAACAGGTCAGCTGGAGAACAGTAAGATGAAAGGCAAGAACTTAAGATATGAAGGCAAAGTCGTACTACTGACTGTTCTGGGTTGTGTTGGTAGTAAGGTGTTTCCGTCAAAAAACGAGTATTTGCAATAATGCTGCCTTCTCGTAACGGGGTTAGAGAAGGTCGACCCTAAAAGTATCACATCTCACTTTACCCTACGGAGTTCCATCTCCTGAAGTAAAGCCTTTTGAAACACAGAGCTAACACATCAAAAACCACCAAAATAGCCGCATGTAACCAATTTTAAGCACTTATCCGTTTGGCTCTACGCCCTCACTCTTAGTTCGTCAATATCCGTGATAATCCTGTTTCCATTTCCAATACACCGGAAAGAGGTATCCTATTTCGCTGTGGGAAACCGGTAAGTGACAGTCGCCCATATACCTCTAAAAGCACTGGAGATCACCTTGTTCACCAGCAATTGTTGTGCTTTATTCCTAATAGTAACGTCTATTACTTGAAGGCTAAATGAATGTGAAATATAGGTTTCCTCAACAATGTTACTAGTATGCTAAAACATTTCATTCAAAGTTTCTTGCTGATTCCTTTCAGTTATCTTAGACTATATCTAATGATTAATGGTATAATTTTATTTCCCTTATCTAATGCTCAATACATTCATTAATTTAATTCAACAGTTTAAAAATCCCCATAGAATATTCAAAAATGAAGAATATTTGAGAGGGCAACAATATTATTACCATTGCTATTATCATTATTATCTCAATTGACAAGATGAAATTCTCCTACTATGCATTTTTTTCACACGATTTTTGCATTTTCAATTTTGCTATATTATACTATTCTACTGAATATGACCGGACACTACTCCAAATCATTCTGACCTTTATTAAATGACCTTTCTAATTTGCAAATAACACAATTTTGAGGTATTTATGTCGTAACAGATGCAAACGTTCACCATTTTCAACATACAACATTGTCAAATTCATTAGTACATGTCTTATTTTACTTTTACTTACTTACGCCTGTTACTCCTCGTGAAGGAGCATAGGCCGCTCACCAGCATTCTCCATCCAACCCTGTCCTGGGCAATCCTTTCTAGCTCCGTCCAGTTGTAATTCATCGTTTTCATATCTGCTTCTATTATCCGACGCAATGTGTTCTTTGGCCTTCCTCTTTTTCGCTTCCCTTCAGGATTCCAAGTTAGGGCTTGCCTCGTGATGCAGTTTGACGATTTGCGTAATGTATGTCCTATCCATTTCCATCGTCTTTTCCTAATTTCCTCTTCAGCTGGAAGTTGGTTTGTTCTCTCCCACAGAAGGCTATTGCTGATGGTATCCGGCCAATGGATGTTGAGTATCTTGCGTAGACAGTTATTTATAAATACTTGTACTTTCTTGATTGTGGTTGTTGTAGTTCTCCAAGTTTCAGCTCCATACAGTAGAACTGCCTTGACGTTCGTATTGAAGATTCTCACTTTGATATTGGTTGAAAGTTGTTTTGAGTTCCATATGTTGTTCAATTGTAGGAATGCGACCCTTGCTTTGCCGATCCTCGCCTTTACGTCTGCATCGGATCCTCCTTGTTCATCGATGATGCTTCCCAGATATGTGAAGGACTCTACATCTTCCAGAGTTTCGCCATCAAGTGTGATTGGATTGCTGTTCTCCTCTTTGAATTTGAGGATCTTAGTTTTCCCTTTGTGTATGCTGAGGCCTACTGATGCAGAGACTGCTGCTACACTGGCTGTCTTCATCTGCATCTGTTCGTGTGTACGTGATAGGAGGGCTAGGTCATCTGCGAAGTCCAAATCGTCTAATTGATTCTGAGCTGTCCATTGTATTCCGTGTTTTCCTTCAGATGTTGAGGTCTTCATAATCCAGTCGACCACCAGAAGAAAGAGGAAGGGAGAGAGTAAACAGCCTTGTCTGACTCCGGTCCTTACTTGGAACGCATCTGTCAGCTGTCCTCCATGCACTACTTTGCACTGTAGTCCGTCGTATGAGTTCCGGATAATATTGACAATCTTCTCAGGAATTCCGTAGTGTCGAAGAAGTTTCCATAACGTCCTCCTGTCTACACTGTCGAATGCCTTTTCATAATCAATGAAGTTGATGTATAGTGATGAGTTCCACTCAACTGATTGTTCGACGATGATCCGTAGTGTTGCAATTTGGTCTGTGCACGACCGATCCTTACGGAATCCAGTATGTTGATCCCGAAGTTGGGCCGAAATAATGTCTTATTTTGGCCTTTGTAAAATATCATAATTATGGACTTGTCACTGTAGAGCCTGATAATTTAATTTAGTAATCGACTATACTCATTTTATCATCATAACCAATTATTTTTTTCTGATTCCTCACCAAAGTCTGTCAATGAAGAAAAACAACTTTAACTAAGTTTTATTCAACATAATAGAATAATTCAGCTTCATTTTACATATTTGAATCAAGTCGTCAGAAAAACCTAAACATAACGGAGATCACTGATGATTGCAATAGGCTAACTTAGGTGGCTCTTAATGTGATGCTGACCTAAAGGGCTCGAAATCTCAAAGTACCAAAGGTTTCTTCGAGATTGTATAAATGCCATGACCATTATTATTATTATAAACATGTATCTGAAAGGAAAGTAAAACTTGTATACATTAAAAATAATTAGTAACTAACTCACTAATTCTAATCAATAAATAAATGAGAAATGTTCATTTCTCTACAATTTTATATTTTCTTGATGGAAGGTATCGATTTATTAATCTCTTTATGTGATATATTAAGTCGTCTTTTAAAGATTATGAGTACATCTAGAAAAATAATCATATTTATCTCTTATTAAAATTATATATATAGAGTTTATCAATTCATTCTTTTTTCCAGCTTATTTTGTAGATACTGAATGAAATTTCTTAAGCTCATTTTAAACAACGCCTATATCTCGATTAAGCGTGTACAACATAGATGCCTATACATTTCATTAAATCTCGTAGTATTTCTCAGTTGAACAGTAAACGATCAAATCTTAAATCTACAATTTTTTACAGAATCCTAGCATATTTTAATGGTATACAACCATAGGCACTTCAATCATATTTACCTTAGATTCATGATAAGAAATAATGGACTAGTATTTCGTAAAACAGTGTTTCACTGTCTCTATAAAAATATATGATACTACTGTGGTGAACGAGAACATCAGTGGGGGACAACTAGATGTATTTTAATAAAACATTATAGAATATATTGGTAGAATCTGGGAACCATATAGTAAATACTCCATTTGCAAAATATCCATCAATTTTCTCAGACTTTGTTGTTTCTTTGTTTCCATATCAATCACTCTCTGTTCGCTTTCTCTTCTCTTCGATATTCTCAGCCTTTTGCTACTAGGCATTCCACTTTCAGGTGGTGGTGCATAATACTTATATCTGTCGACATCAATAACACACACCACACTACTACTAATTTTCTGTCAGCGATCTCTTAAAATACAAAACAAATGATGATATTAAGGGATGAAACATCTAATAAGAGAAAAGCAAACGTCATAGCAATTGTTATGTGTTATCACCTCATGATTGAACCTCTTGGGTATAAAATTAAGCTATAGGATAGTGACCTATGACTGTGTAGCGCACCTATTTTTTCAATACTTAATAAATGTGTACAATAGAGCATTCTCAGACGCTTTCCTGTTCAGTTAGTGAGTGACCGCTGTTTACAAGCCTGTAATTTTCACTGAGGATACCATTTCAACCTCTTTCATTTTGTTTACTTCTCTCATCTGGTAAGTTGGAATGCGTTACATTGGGAGGTTCATAGGAAATACATGTAGATAGATTTAACTGATTGAAATGAGATCACCAGTAAAAATTATGCCTTCATATTCAGAATTCACTCCCTAGGCAAACAGAAAAAAGCTCGGAAATGTTAGATATTACACTTTTATTGAGCATTAGGAAAAAATGGTTATCCTCGCACTAAAAGTAAGAATTCAAGTTATAAAACAAAATGCAGCACTTCTAGATTACTACAGTTATATATACATCTTTAACCCTGTTGCGTAAAATCTTTTGTATATCACCTGAACTGTATACATTCATTGTTTTTACTAATGTATCAGTAATGTTTTAAATATATTTAGTGACAATTAAAATACTTAGAAAGCTATTGTTTCATTCCTAACCTGTTTACGTATTCACTTCACAGTGATAATGGTGGTGGTCATTCATGGCATAATCAATCACAGAATTTTAATCTACAATGTTAACGTGTGACGATTAGCAGTAAAGAGATAGATTTTATGAACAGCTTTAATTACTTTAATATCGACTAAATAATCTTAGTCAGCACCGTTCGTAATATCAGTAAGCTGATCCTTAACGATTTTGCATAGTTTAATGAGTGTAACCTTCACCATTCACTGCTAACGTTAGTTTTAGTTTACTTCTTTGAGAAAAGAGAAACCTAATCAATTGCTTTTTGGCTTTTCATCTGTTCACACACACTCACAATACCATATGTAACGTGTACAGTACCGTTAGATTCTAATTAGTCCAAAGGCTAAATGAAAGTTTTATATTTATATTTGGCAATTCTATGCAACATTTCTACATAATAATAGCTCCCACTTTATGATTTATTTAATGCTTTTAGTTTACGGTATGGAATTGGGGAGATTGTTGAACTGATTTAGGTTTGACAACCATTGAGATTTGGATGTGCTGGACGGCCTTTTTTTCTATTGTGGGGCTCCTCGATAATGTACATCCACGACTCTGCATATGGAAATCAAACCCAGGACCTTCGATCTTTTTTAAATTTTGTTTGAGATTCGTCATTGTGAAATAATAATTAGCTTCTGAAAACTTTAACTATTCGGTGACTACATTTCAAACACCAGCAGCTAGTCGGTAATAGACATTTGTTCAAAACCTTACACGGTGCATTGTATAAAAAATAGTATAATATCATGGTTCTGTATGTTTGTATCATTTCTTAACCTTGAACGTGTATATTCATATAGTCCACGAACAACGAATTCAGGATAGGAACATTATTGGGTTGCGCAGATTGCGAAACTTTATTGAAATCATGAACCGATCTAAATTAGACCAGTATTGAAGCCTGGAAACATTGGATGACCATCTCATTTTAATGTGGTGCTTCTTAACAATGATAAATCCACGTTTTACTGGCGGAAAGTGAACCTAATATCATTGGGTTAGACTACTGAGCTGTTATGATTTCATGATTTCAATATAATTCAGCAATCTTTGGAAACTCTTATCGATAGTTATCATTTGCTCGCTGGCGACTGGCTTCGAGAGGAAATTCCCGGAGATCTAGTGAGAGACCGCGAATAGTGAAGTCAAACTATGTTGGATGTGATACAGTTACTCACCGAAGACTATGGAATGACTGAAGCTGAACCTCAAAAACGTTAAATGAGCATCTACTCAATGGTCTAGACGTTAGGTCCTGGGTTCTAGTTGCACATGGGTTTGTATTGTTGACGAATCCTACTCCAAATCGAAACTACCGTCATATGCTTTCAAGTTTTCAGTAGTGGTCTAACATTGAACGGTTCGTGATTTCAATAAATATTTATTTCTTAAAATCCCTCTTATTTCGATTGGTCAGTTTTACGCGTATTTGATCATTACTCACACTGATTGAATTTATCGTATAGATGGAATAACGGTGATTTCTTATAGTACATAGAATAAGAATAAAATAAATTAGACTTATACGATCACTTACTACCATTTAGTAGTTGTTTGAGAGACGTGATTGTTAAGTTGTTTATATTCTTAAAAAAACGTGTAGTCGATAACAACGTAGATTTTCTTATAAGGTATATGTAGCTCGGTAACTGAATCTACCTTTGTGTATCCGAAATTAAGTTATACTTTATTTGTGATCAGTGACGATTTTATCTTGCCATCAAGACCAAAATAGATAGAACTCATTTTATGTTAAAATTATATTTGAAATAATCTCAGCGATTGAAATCCAAATAATTCCAATGTTTTGTTCAACTAAATTGTCTTGATTTGGTTGTTAAAACGTTATATATTTCTTAGATGATTTTGATTTTTATCCTGAAGAAGTCCAGACAAGTTAGTTGGACGAAACGTTGGAATTATTTGAATTTCAGTCGCTGAGATTATTTCAAATATAATTTTCACCTAAAATGTCTTCTCTATACTGGGCGCCCAATTTCTGTCAAACTATTCGCTTTAATCGTGACGAATATTCGTATAGATAGAACGCAGTTTGAACCTACTCTGTACTAGTTAAGCTGATCGATTGATTCGAACTATATAACCAATTGATTTAAATTGAAGCGTCTAAACTGGTCATAGGTCATAACTTTACCTAATCTGCTTGGAATATATTACATATTCCTTACACTCATTGATTTCAATTACTAACAGTTCAATTAAAATAACAAATTTCGTGCTTGTTGGAGTACTTAAATTGTATAAATTAAATAGAAAAAGGACAATGTATTGACTTTATTTGTCTGGTCGTTCACCCTTTGTCAATTTCATAATTCTGTTTTTATGTATTTTGGTTACTGGTTCTTTTGTCTGTGTAATTTATAGCAGCTTAAATTGACGATATACAATTTATGCATTAGGTCAGATGTTGTTTAATACTTGTACCTGTTCTTTATTCAATATAATAATAATAATAATAATAATAATAATAATAATAATAATAATAATAATAATGTAAATAGACTTAACTTGCTATATCAATATATTTATTTTACGTTGACCTATTCCACGGAAACTATAAATCACATTGTTTCATTTTATTTCCATGAATAATCAGGTTAAATTGTAATTTATAGAAAAATATTTTTCATAAATTATTCCCTGATTTATTTCGATTATCCATTTCTCTATGTAGTCAGTGTTTATTTTCTCTTCATCAATGAATAATCTAGTTGTATTCCAATGTTTAATTTACTTAATTAAATTGTAACGCTAGTGATCAGTAATATATTTAAAATTGTAATAAAACAGTGAACTGTGTCAGTGTTTTTTTCTCTCTATCTCTCTAATCTACAACGATTAGTTAACGTTTAATTATTCAATTTTAATCGCGACCATTTTAAAACGGTTATACTATTCATTAAAGCAGAATTTTACATTAATGTTTTCACTTCTCAACAAATGTGTTGTATTCACCGATTTCTATCATTATTTTTTTGTTTATTGAATGAGTAAGTGATGGATATTTTATAGTGGCATTTTCACTAAGGACTTTATTTCAACTCTTGATCATAAATAAGTTCAGTGTAGCGCAGCCCATTATGCTGAATGATAAATGCAAATATAATGAAAGTTAGACTTGCGAACAAAATTTTTAATGAAAATTACATCCTAATATGTTTCAGTCATCCGGTAAATAAATCAAAAACTGACTGTGAAATTGTTGAATACACATCATATTTATTGGACATTGAATCTGACGGATAACCCTATCTTCGTTCACATCATTGTATTTCTTAATAATAAGATATGATTTTTTTAAGTTTGTTCATTTTAAAGATAGTTTACATCACAATTTATCTGTCTTGAACTCAGGATTCATTTTAAACCATGAAACATTTGATAAGTGTTTTATCACAGTCGTATTCATCTACAACTCAATACAAAGTTAAACTTTTTACCATTAAATCTCTAAATGAGTATAATAATTTTAGGTGCCTTATTCGACTAAGTGATTTCGCATGGTCATTACTGATGGTATTATTATATTATCTTTTTCTATTTCGTTTTTTACTCCAGATATTTGGTGGTCGCTATTTTTATATTCATGCATACAAATCATTAACACATGGTATAGCAAATATGGATGTTTTAATTGTGATTGCTACAACGATTTCATATTTATATTCTGTCGTTATTTTATTAATTGCAATATTGAATCGCTGGCAGCATAGTCCACGTACTGTATTTGAAACATCACCAATGTTACTCGTGTTTGTTTCATTAGGTCGTTGGTTAGAGCATATTGCGAAGGTAAAACATTGCTTCCTTTTTTTACCTGTATGGTTTATTCATTTTAATCAAATTTTTTGAACCATAAATGTGCATTTAAGAAAATTATTACTGTTTTGTCGGAGTACATTTGTCAACTCTTTGAGTTATCTATCTATCTATCAATCTTGGCATGCTTTTAATATACTTCAGTATGTGTAGGTTTTCTTTTAAATCTGCCATAGTGGGGTTAGTCACAAGCTTAACTCATTTATCAAGCTTATTTGTTCATTAACTCAGCTTTGAACTATACTGTATGTGTGTGTAAGAGAATAGTCATGCTACCATTTAACTAAAGTTTATAGATGTAGATTCGAGATTGAAACATAAAGTTATGGTAGTAGGTTAAAAGTCTCAACAACCATCCTTAAAAATCCCCTAAAAAATCCACCTGCTTCGGTTTGACCACCCAGGCAATACTCCAGCCCTCACACAAATTGAATGATGAAGTGTGGCTCATATGTATATTCGGTTCCTCCTTGTATCAACGTTTATGTGTTTAAATAAATGAAAGCACTCATAAGATTTATCAATTATGCTTAAAATATATTAAAACAGTCAGCCTCTTTTCAAAAAATTCCAGAATTCGACATGAAAAGGATCTTGTCGGTTGATCTAGTTGATCAAACATGCAAATGTTCATTAGGCGTAAAATCGTTTTTAAGTTTTTAAAAATCCAAGGTCACTCATATTCATATGATAAAAAATCTTTGCTTTCTGTTGTGTTGAGCCCATATTTCTTTATTTGAACATATAAACATTGGTACAAGAGTTCACCAAGTTTATGAAGAAGTAGGAAAAGTAAAGTGAGCATAATGAAAAGGAACAATAATCAATAGAAATTAGTGTGTGAAAGTGAAATAGTAATAATAAAATAACAGGAGAAACAGTCCAGTTAGGAAAAATACAACCAGAAAGAATGCGGTCAGTTAAAGAAGTTACATTCACTTTTATGTAACGAGTAAAAAAATTTACAGCAGGATCGCCACTGATTTCTTTTCTGAGCCATTTCTTATAACTTCTCAAGCCACGGTGTGGGACTATCTCTAGAACCTTAACCAGGGAGTCGTGAAGGTCCCATAAAACCCATCACTGTACAGCTTTCTTTCGTGCCACGACATCATATCATACACTAACCACCTCTCCGCTTTTTCCGACTAGTCTCAGAGTCGGGAAACAATACACGACGTGCAATTCTCTGGGGTGACATTCGTAGGTCATGTCCAAGCCGCCGAAGTCGATGTTTCAAGATAGTGACACCAACTGAATTATCACCTCTGTACCCAAACACCCATTGCCGATCCTCTGCATTACTAACATGGTGTCGCCACTGGATGTCAGCAATCAGTCAGAGATAACGATAATCAAACGCAGAGAATCGTTTGACATCCTCAACTCGGAGATGCCAGTTTTCACAAGCATAGAGCAAAAGTGCTCTCACTGACGCGTTGTAGATTTGACCTTTTACAACTATACTAGCGTCACCAGGGTACTACAGATGGCTCATATTGGCATACTTCGCAGACGTATTTATAGTCAAAAATCAAAAACCAAAAAAGGCTAGAAGCCACTGATTTCCCACTATTCGGTGTACAGGACAAGGATTGAGGCCGTTCATTTGGCTTAAATCATCACCTCTCACATATCTCAATTTAAACTACTTTACCGTCACATAAATATATGCATAATCTCTACATATTCGTTTGATTTTTTGAAATGCATTTTCCAACACCTTGTGATCTCTGTCTCTCGCATTGGTAGAAAAGTTAGATATTAAGAGAGTCTCCTCTATTAGTCCATTAAATCGGACTGACAGGTCATGCCAATAGTATTTTTCGAGATTTACGATTTTTCTTTAATATTCATCGCCTAATATTGTCTTTTCAATGTTTAATACTTATTATTATTTAATAATTATTAGGGTAAAACATCCGAAGCGCTTACTAAATTACTCTCCTTACATGCTAAAGAAGCTACTCTTATTGACTTATCACCGACAGAAAAACAGAAATTAGAAGATACTTTACAACAGCAAACAAAAAATTTACCGACAAATTTATTTGCTAGTGGGATTGAAAAACGTATCCCAATTGAATTGGTTCATCAAAACGATATCATCAAGGTATTTATAATGTGTCTTTTTTGCATTCATTCTTTTATCATGAAAAGCCTAGTAATCAAATGTGATAAATATATATGAAAATGAGGATTCAGCTTTTATTATATGTAACCTTGTGATGTGCTGTATGGTGTTCGATTTCGATACTGCTATGGAAGCCCATGTGGCTACTCGAGTGAAAATGGTGAGGATGAGAAGGAAATTTATTCACTAAATCGAATTGAGAGCGTATGCACGTTGATTCGTATCTATGCCTGTCACTTTGGTAGTAAAGCCACCAATACTAAATGTCTCATTCCCTATAAGTGCAAGCTATTTATCAACACATCGCCTGGGCTTAAAACTTCACGGATGTCTTATTAGCTCACTCTATCAAACTTCTCTTTTACTGTTATTGGAGATTGTGAAAGGCCAGTCAGTAACAACGTGGAACTTCGTACGTACGTCCATCAGTTCGAGTTGCCATACCACACTAGCACAGAGATGCATTTGTCGAGTCAAATCCCGTAGTGGTAGAAGTAGTAAGAGTATAAACAGTAATCGGAAACATTAGTGCTTGAAGATGTTATTCAAGGAGTATAATACAATGGAATAAATTTGGAAAGAGGGAAAAAAGGGACATGAAGAATTCAGAAGATTAGAATTTGGGAGAACGCAAAGAGTGGATGCACTCAATTGATTTGCCATCCTTACCTAGTACCCGTTTCCTAACAACTGCACTCCTTACTCGATGGTCCCAGGATATACGAGCAACGTTTCGAAGACATCTATGATCAAATACTAGTAACCTACGAATATCCTCTACTCTTACTGGCCATGTTTCACTGCCATAAGGTAGGACGGAACGAACTGCTGCTCAGTAAACACGTCCTTTGGTTGATAGACGGATATTTCGCCTACGCCATAAATGACGCAAATTGGCAAAAGCTAGTCGAGCCTTCTGTATCCGTGCTGAGATTTCGTCACACACTAGACCACAAGGGCTGATGAGACTTCCAAGATAAGTGAAGCGGTCGACACGCTCAACTACTTCACTCCCTATCATTAGTTCGGTTGTCGATGCAACCCAATCCTGAAGCAACATTTTGCATTTCGAGGGGGAGAATCGCATGCCGAACATGCTTGCATTGTTGCTTAGAGTGGTCAGAAGACTCTGCATTTTGTCAGCGTCTTCACCAAATAGAACTATGTCGTCGGGATATTCCAAGTCAACAAGTGAACCTCCCGGTACAAGTTCAACCCCTGTAAATTTAGATGAGGAAAGTGTTATCTCTAAAAGTACGTCAATGACAAAGTTAAACAAGAATGAGGAGAGTGGACAGCCCTGATGAACACCACTTGAGGTAATCAATTCTGATGACAGTTCACCATAAGCTCTCACTCTACCAGTTGTGTTCGAGTAGAGAGCCTTTATAAGGTTAATGTACTTGTTTGGTACTCCTTTCAGTGACAAACACTGCCATAGAACCCCACGATCAACAGAGTCAAATACCACCTTAAGGTCGAGAAATACTACGATTGTGGGGCGTCTGAATGTGTGTCTGTGTTCTAGAACCTGACGTAGTGTGAATATGTGGTCTATACAACCACGTCCAGGTCGAAAACCAGCCTGATTTTCTCTAGTCTGCTCTTCACGAGCTTTAGTTAGGCGTCGAAGTATTATTGAAGCTAATATTTTAGACACTATATTTGTCAAACTGATTCCTCTGTGATTGTCACAAGAGGACTTTTTTCCTTTCTTATAGACTGGCACAATCAGTGATTGAGACCAGACAGATGGGATTACGTCCAGTTCCCAAATCCTACCTAAGACCTCAGTTAATCTCGCTGCTAATACTGGACCGCCCTTTCTAAAAATCTCATGTGTAAACCTGTCAGGGCCTGCTGCTCTCCCTCGCTTCAGATTTCCTATAGTTTTTTCAACTTCGTAAAGAGATGGAGGACCTACATTAACTTGCCATTCAGGTTGACTGGAGATCGTGGGAAACCGAAGTGTGGCTGAAGGCCAGTTGAACTGATCCCTAAAGTGTTCCGCCCATCGATCCAATTTCCGGGATTGATAATGTATAATATGTCCATCTTTCTCTGAGATTGTTTCGCTAACAGTCGGTTTCCTAATACCGCTTTCCTTAACAAGTCTGAACAATTGTCTGCTATTACCTATTGGCGCTGCCTTTTCCATCTCTCTTGCTTTTGCTACCCACCACTGTTCACGATCATTGCATAGGCTTCTTGTCAGCTTGCGCTTAAGCTGACTCCGCTCTTCGTTATGTTCAGAGCCAGATGGAATGAGTTTCCGAGCATCTATCAGTGCGGTAGATGCTGCTGAGATCCAGTGTTTCCCCCTAACCTTGTGGTTTACTGTACTAGCAGATATCACTGTTGTTTCCACAGCTTTTCGGATATCATTCCATGCTGCGTCGGGGTGGGCATCACATACATGGCTGCCTAACTGTTTTTCTATTTGTTCCTGAAATATACTCTTGGCTCGAGTATCATTAAGTAGGCCCCTAAGAGGTTTCCCTGCAGCGTCTTTCCTACGTCCAGTAAGACGCAGGCAAATACGCGCTCGCACTATAGCATGATCTGAATCTAGCCATGTGCTCCAGAATGAGCGGCAGTCTTCTATCGAGCCCCTCCATCGGTGGCTGATAGCGATGTGATCTATTTGGGTCCAACGTCGGGACGAATTCGGGGATCGCCATGTTAAAAGATGTTTTTACTTATGCTTAAAGTTAGTGTTTGCAAGAAAGAGGCGGTTATCTGAGCATAGCTGCAACTGACGGTCGCCATTATCTGTTCTTTGAGCCGCGACACCATAAGATCCACCCATATGTCTTTCCTTTCTAATTAATTTACTTACTTGAGCATTAGTCACTAGCCACTATTACTACATCAGAACGCCTAACGTTTTGGAGAATGTTGGGGAGCTTTCTGTAAAACTCATCTTTGACACCATCTGAGCTGTAGTCAATGGGAAAGTAAGTAGAGACGACGAAGAGGCAACGACGAGTGTCCCTATCTTTCCGAGTCCTTACTATTCCGTTCAGTCGGACAGCGTACAAACGAATGACTACTGGGATCCAGTCTAAGAGAGCTAGTTCTGCCCTAGGACTCAATGCTATACCTACGCCAGCGAGGCCCGCGAGAAGCAGCATCAGGGCTTCCAGATACACGAAGTGTGAATTGAGTTGGTTCTTTATTTTGACATGGTGAGGTCAAATGAATGACGCTACTCGGATCCTGTATGCGCGTTTCGGAGACGCAGCACACATCGATGGCGCGAGATTCTAAAGTCCTAGTTAAGGAAGCCTGCTGTCCTATTCGGCACAGTGTTCGGACGTTAAAAGCTCCAACGTGTATTTTGAAGCGTGGTTTCTGAAGACCAGGAATAACGTTCCGCGTACTCGAATCGTTTGCCCTAGCAGTGCGAGGTGATAAAGGGACGTGAGAAGGGTTAGTCGGGGAGATAAGAGTGGTATTAAGAGGTGTAGGAAGGATTTGAATGTGACCAACTTGGTCTCGTGTGCTGTTACGGGTATGAGGGCTGATGTCACTCCCCCGCTGCCCACACCGTGGAAGGGTATTTCTTGGGGAACCTGAAAAGGAGGTTGGATTGATGTTGGCTTTAACAACCTAGGAGCGTGACCGCAGATCCCAAGGGACAACTGTTTGTGGCCGGTCGTACACGGCCTTTTTGTGGGAGATTTCTGACGTGTTAGTCCCGTTCTTCAAAGGGCCTTACCGCCGGAGACGGAAATCTGTGAGGTAAGGTGAGGTGTGACATTTTTAGGGTCGACTTTTTCTAACCCCTTTCTTCCTTGTGAGAAGGCAGCATCGCCGCAGCTGCTGGTTGTCTGAGGGAAACACTTTACTGCTGTCACACCCCTCTACAGTCAGCAGTACGACTTCGCCCTCAGACCTTGAGTTGCTGCTTTTAGTCTTACCGTTCTCCAATCGAGCTGCCTGGCATGGTAGAACCTACAGGAACATATGTTCCAGCCAATATAGCTCGGTTGGGACATCACGATAGGCAAACGCGAACACCGCGTCAAGGTAGGAGCTACGGTAGGGTGATACTGTTTAACTGGTCTCACTAATCATCTTTACGGATGGTGGTCCGATGTATTTTAAATTATGGCCTTGATAAATATAATCCTAGTGAGGCGTGTTCTCATTACTTCAGTGACATGATATTTCCTCAGCTATGTATACATAAAATGACATCACCAATGCATCTAAATCTAAAAACTGCCTCGTCTCTATTTTGTTGTTCCTAAGCTCCAGATAAGCTTCAGATACTATGTTAGTCAAACAGGTTTCAATGTGATTATCATCACAGGATTTCTGTCCTTTTTATTAGCCGGTGCGATCAACAATCTAGACCGGTCAAATGTGTTTACGTTTATTTCCCGAATCTGGTCCCTCTCCCTAAAGATCTACCGAGTTCATCTGTCACAACGTTCTTGGATAAGTTGTTAGGTAAACACAAACATATGCATCTGTAGACAATTGTTCACAAATAATTGTACGATTTTGATGATGGCTGTGGTAGTTCTCGATGTTTCAGCTCCGTACTTTAGAACTGTCTTTACGTTCGTATTGAAGATTGACTTCGACATTGGTTGACAGTTGCATTGAGTTCCTTATGATCTTCAACTGTATGAATGCGGCTCTTGCTTTACCAACCCACAAATTTGCATCTGCATATGATCCTCCTTCTTCATTGATGTTGCTGCCCAGACACTTGAAAGTTTTCACCTCTTCCAGAGCTTCTTCATCGAGCGTGATTGTATTTATGTTCTCTTTGTTGTATATGGAGATCTTGCCTTATCTCCTATGTATGTTGAGGCCTACTTATGTCGAGGCTGTTACTACACTAGTTGTTTTCATCTGCATTTGTTCATGTGTATGGAAGGGTCAGTTCATCTACGAAGTCCAAATCATCTAATTGCATCCAAACTGGCAATTTTAATATTTAAATGAGTATAATTTATCAGTTATCTTTCCTTAAAAAAATATATCAGTTGTTCCAGTGCCATATTCTACTTCTTTCGTGATTAGAATCCTGACAAAACGTTTAAATCTTTTTTGAAAAAAAGTATTAAAATTCATCGTTACAAATCAATAAGTTCATCCAGTATATAAGGTCAATCTCATTCCATTTATTTATGATCTGAATCTTGTGTCGTTTGTATTATAGAAAACTACTTAAAGATAAAAGTTATTAAAATATAATGAGACAATCTATAGTTTCATTGCAACAATGGATCATGTATTTGGTTGATATATATCTTTATATGACAATTTCATTGACATTCCTCTTAGTTCAATCACATAGAGGTGTGTTCTGTTGTATTATGCATATTTGTGCCTGGTCCTACGTTGTAGCTGACTGACATGATACCCAGCTAGAGTAGAATATAAATTGATACTTTGACTCAATAATTAAAACGTTTTCCATCTACATTATTAATGCCGATTGAAAAACGTTTCCGTAGGAGAAATTATTATTATCCCGTGAAATTTTTTTTCTAACATAATTTCACCACACATCTTGTTTTTATTTTTATTTAATATTTATGTAAAAAGATTCTTCCGGGTGAAAAAGTTCCTGTTGATTCTGTCATTTTAATTGGATCCACATCATGTGATGAATCGTTGATTACTGGAGAAAGTATGCCAGTCGTTAAAAAACCAGGTTTGTTGATTTGATAAATTGATTTAATGTAGTATGTAATCAGTAATTCTGTTTTATGTAAGATTTTGAGTCAAATGTTCTCAAAATAAAGAAAAAAAATATTTAATGGTAATATAGATGAGATTTTCTGTCTTCTGGTTTGTTTTCCATGCACTTCTATGATGATTTATTCCCAATACCTGACTGTTATTTTCGTTTCCCTTCTCATTCATGAATATAAATGTTGTATATATAAATGCATAATGCATACTTTCATATGTAAATTTCGTTTTTTAATTTCTGTACATCATTATTTGTTTATCCATCGGAAAGATTCATTCAACTAGAAATATAAGTATGTTGTAACATTTGTTTATCTGGTGGTTTGTCTTTTAAATATGTTTATTTCCTTTGTATGTTTCATTGGTCTTTGTTTTCCTTTTCTTCGTTTGCATTTATGTATGTGTGTGTGCATGAGGAGATGGGATCGCTTTATTAATTGTCATTTGGTTTGGGGGATTTTTGATGTTTTTTTTCTTCAGAATTTGAAAGCAATGACAGTTTTAGACGTAGATCATCTAATTAGCACTGATCATTTGGGTTTACTGTTAAAACAGCACATACAGGCTGATAATATTGTTTAATTTTTCCGATTAGATTGTTATCACCCTTTATTCTAGTATATGGCAATATCGATATCCACATGTATACATATATGTGATAAATCCAAAATCAATCAAGTCATTTTGTGAATTAATGATAAAGATGAAAAAGGATTACATAATTAATCATAATAAATGTAAATTACAAATTATGACAATGTAAGACGATGATAAATGTATGTTCAATAGTGATAAGATTTATAACAGTTTGAATAAATACTTCAAAAAATGAAAAAAATAAACTTGTTAAAATAATAATGATAATTCCGATTTATAACTGTCCAACCTGAGTAGGTGGATTCATTGAAAAGAGTATTTTTCGTTCATGTACCTTTGATGTGAATTCAATTGACAGTTTACAATAGTAATTGTTAGTGTACATAATACGAGACTGTGTGAATAATCAGTTTACACATATACGTAGTTCAAAAAAAAAATATAAAAGGATTGAATATAAATGAATAAAATGGGCAGATTTAGTAAAATCTCCTGTTAGGTCTTCTCTGGTCAAGAAATGTACAAGATCGGTGGACCCCATTGGGAAAATCAAAAAGCGTACGATAAATAACTGTTATTGTTCTTACCACTGTTGATACATTCATCATCTTACTGTATTCCTTTCTCACTGTCATCACTGATATATTAATTCCCTTGATTTCTTAAACATTTTCTGATAAATATATGATCGAAATTGATATTGTTTGCTCATGTGTGTATTTTTGATTTACACAATGGAAATTTCTAATATTTCTAAAGTGTTTTGTCCTTAATAATAACAAATGGATAACTCAAAGTTTTTGCATTACGTACGTAGGAATTGACTTGCTATTGCTAGTCATGGTGTGATGTATATTTCTTAATCATTTCAGTCCATGGATATTTCTCGTTTACTTATTCATTAAATAGAAAAAGACAATTAATTATTTAGGAAGTAATATTTTGATACTCTATGCCAACTAGTCATACGTGAAGTGATAAATGAGAGATGCTGGCGGCACTTGCTTTTAATTAAGCTTTAGCTTCACCTTCAAAGGAAATATATACGCTGTTCGTTAAAAATGTGGTTTTCTCACCCAATTATCTGATTTGGGCTTATATATATTACCGCAAACTTAATACATTTGTCAAGGACGGTTTTCTATTCGTGAACTATTTGATCTCAACAAGTCTGTAGCGCGGCACCTTAGTTTGACGCTCTTAAACAGTGAGCACCTCAGCATGGCCCCCATATAGCATGAAACTCTCTACCCAACTTCAGTTAATTTGTTGTTTCAAGAGTTTTAGCTCGTATGAATCAATCTTTTTGATCATTAACCAAGTGATCTGAAAATCACTCAGTTATAATAATTATTATTACACTAGCATGATATTGCTTATAGTTATTGGTTATTTTTTTTCACTTAGTATGGGTTTAGATTTGCTTTGTCACATCTTCGCACTGTTTTCTCGTTTTGTGGTTTCTTCACTCCATTATTTTCATATTCCTTAGTTATTAATTTACGTATTATCTGTTTGTCTGTGTGTACAAAAAGGAAAAAGGATTAATTATAATACGAAGTCATTTTTATTTTAAATGTGTTGTATAAATATATCGACTTTTCGGTAGGTGATTCTGATGGTTTAATAAGTGATGGTGGAATTCAACACATTTAGCTTGTGATAACGTTTTACTGAGAGAGTTAAAGTACGATCAATCTGCTTCTGAATTTCCAATTCGATTGAGTAGCTTAAAGGGGAAACGCGTTAGCGTCTGAAGTGATATGTAATGGGGTCAATTCTTGGCGAGAACACGTTAGTACTCGAACGGTGCTGCATCTAGCTGATCTTTCCCAAATTGAACGAAGTAGACGTCCTAGACTCCACTTCTAGCCGTAATCTAACTTTACTAAATGCTTATAAGTAATTGACTAAAACTGAATTATTGATAATTCCTCACATCAACAACAGGAAAATACTAACTCTTACAACGAGTGTTGATATTATAAACTGAATTTAGTATGATAGTTTTTTGTTTCAAATTTTACTATATTTCATCATTTTCATTTACTTGATGCATAACTATTTGAAATATACACATACACACAGTGTACTAGCACAACTTCTAAAGGAATAATAGTTTGAGATGCATGTTTCCAATATCACTTCATTCTACTTTGGCTTTTCTGAGCTAATTAATATCATTAGCCCCTTATGTCGAAGAAAGGTGGTACATAAAACCAACCAAAATGAATCTATACTACATTCTAAAGTATCACTGAATGATAAAAAAAAGCAAAGAAATATTGTTCACTAATATTTGCTTAACTTTTTTTCTTAGTTTATTAGTTAAATACCTAATTTGTTCTTATTCAAAAATGATTATTCACGACCAAACAAATGATCTCCTCTCATTGTATGTTGTTATAGAACCGTCTGTATTTCAAAATAGTGGTAATCGCTAATATAAAATATGTATTACCTATTTGCTTGATCTGGTAATCAAGCTACCTGATTTCCTAACTCGCATTATTTGTACACTCGTTTGTTCAAACTTCACGGTGGTAAATGTAATTATTATTTATTGTATTTTTTTCAAAGATGAAATTCATATCAAAAGTGAGAGTAATTTTACCATCAGTTAAGTCTCGAATTCTTCCATGTAGTCTAGAAATTATGGATTTTGTCTAATTTTTACTCAACGGAAGGGGGGTTAGTAAATTCGTAACAACTTATTATTTATAGTGGTGTGTGGAATGAACCGTAATTGTGCATTTAAATAAAATATTTTTATAAATTAAAACATCATTATGTACTCCAATACTTATCGTGTTTTACATGCTTTCTTCAATTTACTACTTAAACAAACATATTTCATCTAAATGGTTGTACAATTGTACAAAACAATTCCTCAAGGGGGTTTATCCAGTAGTAATTCATAATATGGTCTGATTTAATTTTATTTCAAAACTCCATAACCATTGTTAACATTTTTATTAATGGCTAACAGCAAAGTCCTAACAGTCCATTACGTTCTATTCATAACTCCTTTACTGTATGTAATTGTATCTTATTTTTGATGTTCACATTGAAACTCGAACCTAATTCAATCATGGTTGTTCATATGGACAAATATAGAAACAAAGTTATCTTTAGTCCAATGTATATAACTTAAATATTATCACCTTGATGTTAGCTGTGGTCGTAAATGAGGACAAATTGAACTGTTGCAGTTATCTGTGACAATCGTCTTAAGAACGTTTTGCATATCAATTTAATACAGTTTATCTGAATCATACTGATAACTTTTTTTCTGTATGTGTATATAGGATCAGATTTGATTGGTGGTTCTATCAATCTAGCTAGTATTGTATGGGCCAAAGCAACTCATGTTGGTGAGGATTCAGCCTTATCTCAAATCGTTCGTCTTGTTGAAGAGGCACAAACTTCGAAAGTTGGTTTTTTGTTAGATTATCTTGCGAAAAAAGTGACCACTTTTATTTGTTTGTTCATGATTAGGAAATACTAATTTTTTATGTAAAAGTTTTGTTTGTATTTGGTAATAGTTTAGTTTACGGGTTTCCATGACCTTTTTTCCCATATTTAGTTTACATTATGCATTTTATTAATTACTTTTTTATCAACTTCCAATGAGCATTTGCATCTTTAAGGGTGTTTCACTCCGATTGGGGTAATTGAACAGTGTTGTTAACTTCCATACAAAATATGTATTCGAACTCAATGTACAGATATGTATTTGGTTATTGAGTTGCATTAGAATTTTATTAGATAACAAATTTCACCCATCAATCGGTTCAGATGAATTTATGGAGGTTATTTGGTTTCTACCCTGTTCTGAACGACAGCAAACTTATTCTACGGAAGTAGATAGTCACCAGGTGACACTAGGCAACATGATGTTAGTAGTTACTTATCAGTGGCTGATTAGTGTATCTATTAATTTTCTGAAAACGTTATTTGTATTTAGAAACTATTCAGTACTCATTTGTACTTATAACAGGGGACGTGATAAAACACCAGAGCAGTTGATAATATGGACTATCTAAAATCGTGACTAAGTTTCAACGTCAGTGGATAATTCTGGCATGTGATAGAACATATAATCGAGATATTTGTCCTCAGAAAAATATGAAACTCTTCGTGTACTTTTATAATCCATTTATGAGAGAATATCATTAAGTCAACACATCTTTTAGTTCGTAACCCAGAAAATGACCGATTTAATCAAATCGTCTTCAGAATTTGGTTAAATTAGTAGTCAGAATTTAAAATATGACAAGCGCGTCACTCTTCTAGTAAACCTATATGGTTTCTGATCATACTTTTTTATACAAATCAATTGTAATAGATATATAAATTTCCTCTATCTGTTTACCTTTCATTGTAGGCACCAGTACAACAGCTTGCAGACAAGATTGCTGGTTATTTTGTTCCATTTATTTGTTTAGTGTCATTGACAGTTTTTATTTTATGGATCACTTTAGGCTTCTTGGTACCAACAACCATAAAAGGCTATGAAGTAAGTTGTTGTCCATTTTCTGTAAATGTCTATTGCTCGAGGTTTTTTTTAAACCAGATTTTACCTTTTTTCGACCATTGTAATTATTCATTGTCGCTGTCGAAAGAAATATAGATACAGTTGGCATGTGCTCATTTACTTTTATAGCTTTCAGTTGAAATGGAACTTACAACAATGAATTCGACCAAATTTCCTGTGTTTTCTCCGTTAAATCTTCACGATTGGATAACGGCATGGGTATACAACGTTCGTTTGACTTTGGGTCGATCTCTGGCCTAAAAAATGTGTTTATCTATTTATCAATGGGCAAATATACTTCCTAGCGGTTCTATTTGCATTAGATTATTCCTATTAGATATGACCTATAAAGGTAGAGAACATACACATTTTGTCAGTATTCGATTATGTACGCAGATCACTTGTTTAAATAAGCTGTTAAACTGATCCGGGTAGGGAGATGAGACTTCTGACCTTGGCTAGTTAACCAATTCACCTATTAATAATAGCCGATTAATATTTGCATGTGATACTAATTATGTGGTCGTATGACAGCATGGTGGTCAGTGTATGAAACGATTTCGTGGCATGAAAGAAAGCTGCGAAGGGTTGGTCTGTGTTGGTCCTTCACGACTCCATGGCTGGGGTCCGAGAGATGGTGCAACACAGTGGCTAGAGACGTTATCAGATATAGCTCAGAATAGGAGCCAGTGGCGATCCTGCTGTAACCTTCTTTTACTCCATAAAAAGTGGTTGTATCTTCCTTAACTGAAAGATCTCTTTTGATTGTACGTTTCTGTTTCCCCCATCATTATTATTATTATTATTACACTACCTTACACTAATCTGTTCGTTACTGTTCTTTTTTTTAACGCTCCACACCTCTCTTTTTTCTTCCTTCTTCTCTTCAAATTCTCATTGTTTTGTGTGGCGCATATATATTTGGTGCCCCTTTGTACCAATATTTATGTGTTCAAATAAATAAAAAATGACAGCATGTGGTCGATCCGGGATACCACTCAGTTACATCATCTTGTGACTCTGGTTTTATTGAAAATCACACGAACTGATTTTCATTTAATATTGTCGTTCATTCTGCACTAGGGTTGTAGCTTCCTTAATTAGACGCATAAGTTTTGATCAATAGGTTTTAGTTCCATTTTCTTCCTATCTACTTCACTGTAAAATTCCATATAAGGTCATGTCATCACAATCACTGTCAACTGTTATCTTTATCTACTTACTATACATTCTTCAATTCATTTACAGTATCTTCATTTGGCGGTTTTTGTAACAAATCCTATACACTTAAAATATGTAGAAAATGCCTTACATTTTACTGAAACTGGGGTTCATGAGTATTTTATATTGTTGTTGATAGTAGTATTGTTGTTTGCTTATTCCATTGTTGACATAAAAAAGTAAAATGAATGATGTAGAATGGGTTTTTTTGGTATCATCGCTTTTGGTAGTACATCTTATGTTATCCGTCTAATAGATTCAGTTAGTTAGTCAATCTAATCAATCAATATAAAATCTGGCATTCATGTGCTGGACAGACCGATTTGCATCAAGCCATATCATTACAATGGAATGTAATCAACAATATGAATTGTCGATAAATCAACGAATCAGTTATATTAATGATAATAAAGAAAATGATATACACAGATAATATATGATTCAATAAGATGGAATGAATTCACTGAATAAAATAGTATGCGTTAATATCATATATACAGGGAAGATAAAAAAAAAGTGTACAAATATCTGCACCAGTATGATGGATTTTTGAACTATGCCGTATACATTCTTCAACTATTCATAACAGTTATTGTGTATAGATTATTGGATTAGACTTGCAAATAAAAAATACATCGAACATCACAATAGTATCTCATATTTCTGGTACATTAATCACGATATATACTTTCATCTATACTAACTGTACTTAGCTCTAAACCTCATTTTTTCTTTGCATATATTTGTATCTGTGTTCATACGTGCGTCTTTAAATTTTTTAAATTTCAGCCTGGTTGTTCCATTCCCCTGTTAGCTATTGATCATGCTTTTCGTATGGCTATCACTGTATTAACCATAGCTTGTCCATGTGCTCTTGGCTTAGCCACTCCAACAGCAGTGATGGTAGCTACCGGGACTGGTGCATTAGCTGGTATATTAATAAAAGGTGGTCAACCTTTAGAGAATATGCATAAAGTATGTCTAATTTATTGCATATTTTTGAATTCTCGTATATATATATGATAACTTCTATTTTACGTATACTATATATGTATAAATATTGAAATGCTAATATCTAAAGTGGTTTACGACGTATAAAAACTGATTTGAAATATCGAAGAACAATCATTGATTTTGGAAACATAATACAAGTTATCCTTAAACATAGATTTCATGTTGATTAAATAAGGGATATCCGTTCATGAACATGGTTCATAATGATATCATCACCATCACAACATACAGTAATAATCCCGTTCATAGTTGGTACGTCGTTGAGTGTTCAGATATAACTTATGTCTCATAGTCGTCTGGCGAATATTGATGAACTGGCTTTGCAACATTAGATTTAATAGTTAGTTGGATATTAGTTTCAATGCTTTTCGCTCGAACTCAAATCACGGATTACATACAAGGAGTTTTTTCCAAAGTGAAATATTCGACAAAAGGCTAGAACGATCAGGTCATAAGCATTATTCAGTGATTCGGATTAGAACCATTTCAATGAACTACATTGTCTGTTATCCCTCTCTCTCTTTCTCCCTATTCTATTCAATAAGCAAAGTTATCATCGTAATGAACTGACTTAGTACTTGTGAAGTAAGCAAACAAATAACTGTAAGGGTAATATAGAGAGGAGTTTAAAACAACTATGATGAACTTTCAGCCAGTCCTCAGCCAATTAGAAAAAAGATTTTGTAAATGAACAGTTTGTAGAAAAGAATACAATAGTCCTCATCTTGCTTTTGCTTAGGGATTCAGGGTTAGAGTTTTCACTGCAAATTGATATCAGCTTTAGTGCAACAATTCTCTTTAGCTATATGGATAAACAAATTTTGTTCAACAGTCTAAGAGGTACTGTCTGGTTAATTCGTCTATAAAATGAAGTCCCAAACAGTTTAAGGTTGTTTCAGAATTTCAGGATGCAGGATTGATATTTAAGGATGATATCGATAAGTCTGTTACATACAATGTTTAGTGCTATCATTTTTACTCTTATGTACCAAAACATAATCTATTGTTATTTGAACACTATACATAAGTACTTCTACTGCTCGTTATGTGTGTTATACAGATTTTGCTCTGGAACCTAAAAGTCGCATTCTTGATTCTAATTGGTTTGTTATTATACTTTTTACCAAATTTTTTGTCCAACTATACTGCTTATATATATATATATATAATATTGTTGCATAGATCTTATGTTAATCGGTGTATTTATTTTCTTAGTTTCAGAATATATTATATTCACGTTTTTTGTTCCTTCTGCAAACTTTTTAGTTAACTACAATATTATTTGATAAAACTGGAACAATCACTCAAGGTCGACCACAAGTTATCCGTATTGTCATGTTCATACCACCTAGTGGTGAAATGGAGAGATCCACAGAAGTAGTAAGTACTCGTTTTTTTCCTTTTTATTATTTTGTAAAACATAACAAAGTGTAAATACACGAGGATTTTTTTTCATGGTTTGTGGGGTGTGATCTTTGTTAAAAGTACCCTTTGCTATTGATCAATAATATATAATGGTCTTAATCCTAACTTTTAATTGTTATGGTTCCTTAATCATCGACTCACTAAGAATTCTGTCTTGAATTTAAATCACTAGTGGGCACATGGGATTAATATTCATATATCCTCCTACAAAATAGAAATTTCTTTAATATATGACTTATGACATTGTCAATATACAATTGTTTACTACCATTATTAGTTCAGTAAATGATAGACAATGAAACATAAAATAATTTTATATGTTAAAGCAGAAAAAACAGCTGAATGATCTGGCTTTTACTGTGTAATAAGTAAGGATTCTGTTTACACGAAGTTGTCATATAATTCTTGTCTTTTTTTCTTTGATCTCTTGAGTTACATTTATTCATTAGGTAAATTTCACTGAATGTAAATAAAATACAGTTAATTTACCATACATTCAATAACCTGTAAAATATACACTATCAATATAACCTTTCATCTGATTACTCATTAGACGTTCTGTCTGAATGTGCACTGGTACATTCTTTTCCTTTGCTATGCGTTAGTACGAAGACTTTGTGGGGATAACCGATATATTTTTTAAGTGCGAAATTACAGTGTCATGATCAAATATAAAAACTGTACATCACATATATTATTTGCACATCTTCCTTCGGTTATCTTTTACGTGCTTCATGATTCTTTGGATTCTGTTGTAATGACAATTACTCTCTGTTTTCATTCCTGTTCACTTCAGTTCAGTCTTCTGCTGCAGGCATTCCACTTCTGATTGGTGTTACACACTACTTATATCTGTCGACATGAGTAACATACACCACGGTGCATTAGTTACGTAATGTCTGCAGAGGTAAATAGGATGCTTTATGTACAGTTATTTGTGGAGTTTTGTTTTTTCAAACAATGATGATTGAATACTATAACATATTTTGATTGTAACTGCTTTTTTAATGTTATGGTGTTTGACTTGTCTATTATAACAAACCAGACTATCTACATTAGATTGAAAGATCGTTTGTTGACCATCTTTTATGATAATAAGGCTTGTGAAATTCAGGGCCTGGTGATTATAATTTCGATTTTACTCAAGGATTATCAGTAGCATCTTCAATAATGTGCTACCTATTTCTCACAATGGCAATAGGAAATTACAAAATGTCCAAGGCAAAAAATAATAAAGTTACTACTTTCGTTCCCATGAGTTTTTACACTCAGTGATATTCTTTGTTTGTTTGTTTGTTTTCTAAAATTTTCAATGATGAATGTATATTCTCAATATTTCATCTTTCTCAATATCATTTCATTCTACAATACAAAATATATTATGTCAATTACAATTATTTAGCTTGTGATATCTATCGATAACCATCAATTGCTCATAAATCATTTTAAAGTTTTTCTTTTGTGATTGTGTGTGTGCGTGTGTTGTTAGTAATATAAATTACTAGTAAACTGTGTAAAGAAAAAGAACAAACTCTGATAATCAATACTTACTAGAATGAATTAGCACAGAACTGTTTAGTTACATTATTTACTATTCATCTGTTTAGGTGCATATGCACCTATATTAAAGATTAACCTGAACTGTATATGTGACAATTGATGAACGCATCATCACCGACAATGTTATAAGTTGATTTGCTTAAATTACATTTTACATAGTTTTATTTAAATGATTCATATTTGCATTTTGGTTTAATGTTGATACTTATTATGGATTAACTAACTTCCAACTGGTTAAAAACTGGAACCGACTATTTGTATTCGTAAAACTATTCACATTTTTTACTGTTGAATTTAGTCTCTTCGAAAAGATTTACGCTCAATTTTGTTTATGAGCTTTCAGTTGAAAAGTTTCAATTGTATGCGTGTATATTGGTGTAAACTCAATGCCTACAAATACAATATCCCTAATTACATACATAATTATAATCAGTTTTTGAATCAGGTAGAAATTTTCAGACGAGACTGTTCCGGGGCGGGGGCACCTCTACTAGTGAATGTAGTCCATCACAGATGGACCAACTAGTTGGTTGAAAACTGTAAGCGTAAGATAACTTTACACCATTGTTTGCTTGTCGTATAACATCCGAGTGTGCAATAATAAGGTTAGATAATAACGGCTAATTTGTTGATGTCCTCAGTCTAAGGTCAGTCCATGAAATTATTAACTATCAGTTTAGGGGTTGTGGAGATTGTTAAGTTTTTTGGTTGAGATCATGAACCGGTTGATTTTAGACCATCATTGAAAGCCTGGAAGCAATGGACGGCCGTTTCGTCTTATTGTGGGACTCCTCGGCAGTGCGCATCTACGATCCCGCTCACGGGATCTGTTGACCTGATTCAAATTGGTAGATGGAAATTACCTGATTAAGGTTTGCTAAATAACCAGCCATCATTAGTTAGAGATGTTAAATTAAATGGTTTTAGAATCGATTTCGCTGACCCAAATGATTTCACTTTTTATTATTTTCTAGGTTCCGAATGTCAATGTTCCGCCATACATATCTTTTCATTTTTTTTCTTTTAGAACCATATTCTTATTGGTTTCATGTCGTTCTATTAAAATGTTAAAGGAACTTGGTTTAATGCATTATTTTGGTTAACTTCTGATTTTTATTTCTAATTTATATGGCAAGTACCAATTATTTATATAAACTGATTAATTTACGTAATGTCTGATTTCTTCTCTTAACAGAACAAATACCAATCACCAGATCAAAGTTCACCATTATCAATCTCTTCATATAAACCGCAACTCTGTTCAAACATATCACCTAGTCGATTTTTATATCTTATCGCCAGTGCAGAATCAACAGTACAACATCCTCTTGCAAATGCTCTACTTATTATAGCACGTACATTTCGTCGATTTGCATTATCATTTAATTCAGATGAATTATTATTAAATACATCAAAAGATGGAGTAAATTATCAGAATACTCATAATAGTGAAATGAATTATGATTTATCTAATGACTTTGCAAAGGTGGGCAATTATCAGTATACTATTACTTATTTAGTTTAAAATAGTTGTTTTGTTATATCTTGAATATCTTTTCTACGTGTCCGTGTCTACAGCTCATATTGGAAGACTTTTAGTTCACTTTTTCTTAACCCTCACCTATTAAAATCAGTACATAGTACGTTTGAGTAGGCTACGGTTGAGGTATGCATTATTTTTAAGTTAACTGTTGGAAGTAGTCGACAAAAAAGCCCTGGACCGATGTTTCGTGCTATTTGGGGCTCGTCAACAAGATGTACCTGAAATCTTGAGGAAACTAATGCTCCATGACAAATTCGATCCTATGTCACCCACTTTCACAGTTAGAGATGTTACCTGAACTATTCAGGCTGCGACTGACCTCGCGTATGACTGATAAGTATTTACGATCAGTTGATCATTGAATAGTGATCAAAAACATGTATATCAAGTCTTTTTAGAGCTCATTGAATTTTATCGACCCTCAAGATTACAAGTGTACCCTGCTGCCGAGTCCCAAACACCACTAACCTAGCTCCAAGAATTCCTGTTGACTACTTCCAACCACCACCCTACATCTCAACACAGTGCATATGATCTCGAGTTATTTAGACTAGTGGACAACCTATGGAATTTAGTCAGCACAAAAAATGAACCAGAAATGTATGACATTGGTCCTTGCTCAATGACCACACAATTGTAGACATTTATTATCTCTATGCATGATGTCAGAAACACCCATTCAATGATTCCTCACCACTTACAAAGCAAGTTCGTAAGTCCATAAAATTATTTGCTCTGTAAAATTCAGAACTTTACCAAAGTTAGAAGTATCTACAAATGTTAAGAAAATGAAACTATCCTATTACCTCGCCAAACAAATATGAATATTATTTAGCAAAGAAAATTTATCATGGACAGTTGCACTTTCTAAAATGGTGCACAATCGTAGGTATCGTTAAACATAAGAGTCTACAATAAAGTAGAGGGGTGTTGCTATATTTAACAAAGTTATCAGAAATAATCGACAATTTTCAGATATCAACTATAAGTTAAGTAATCGTCCTAAAGGTAATACAACGTATTAACTTGCAAAAAACGAACTTTAAAAGATGATTATCTATAAGACGAATTTAAAGATGAATAGTACACAGAATAAGTAAGAACAATTTGTACAATTAGGAGTACTATGACTAAGGTTAAGATAAAGGGTTAAAAACGTCTCTGCTTTGTACGTAAATGTCGGGCTTAAGTTGGTGGATTAATAAATCCTCGGATGTACAAAAATGTCTGATCTAAATCCTTGATTAAGGCTATTCTTTTGGTTTTGTAGATAACGTTGAATGATTGTTCTGATGGCGGTACGTGACTAGAGGTGACGCCTATCTTTAAGGAATGAGCTGTTGACTGATGTTTGCTCACCTTTAGGGAGCTATATATGTGTTCAAAAGTTCACGACTTGTACGACTAATATAACCTGCTTTCCAGAAACAAGTGAAGCGATAAATTTACGTTTAGGTGGCCTAAATTATCAGTTTACCACTGACAATTTGCCATGCGTAAAAAATAACTGTAATTACGATTATGTAGTTTAAGTAGATAACAGCGTCAAAAAAAAGCTTTTATTCACTGAACCATCTTCATTTTGTTTAATTTAGCAATTCATTTTCTTCTCAGTGGTAGCATACACATACCCATGAGATTCCAATCATATAAGTGCTCTTCGGATTTCTTTAGACAGCATTAGTGCAACCTCTTGTGTGTACAAGGTATTTTCTTCGTGACCAGAGTACAACAACGTCTCTCCCGAAGCTAATCTTTTCTGTTCATTATAGGCCTCATTTGATTTCCCTTATTCTAAAAACCGCCAAGTTGTATCTCCTCATTTCCACAGCTATTTGGTTAGTTACCTCGGTCTCCCAGATTGTCTGGACATTCCATTTACCTATAGTAATTATTGCTCCTGTTGTCAGGAGGGGCATCAGCTTTGTGATTCATGAAGAATTTCAGGTATCACCATGAGACTTCATAATTTTCCGTATGAAGACCCTTCAACTCTCAGAGGAATATTTAAATGGTTTAGATGACTTTTTTTGGTTAGCGTTTTCCTACCAAGTTTCTTTTTTACGGGGATGGGGTTTTGACCCTATGCTGGCTAAACACCAGACGTAACCGAGGAAGAGTCCTAGACGAATTTGGTCGGAGAATCCTGCTCGGTGGTCCACGCGGGTTAATAGGCGTAAATAAGTAAGCTACACAAATGAGTTACTAAAGAAGTATTGTTTGCAAAAAGGTATTTAAATATTAGTTTCGCTTTAACGGTTGAATGGTTCAAACATTTTTCTCTACTCAAATTATTGGTATGTTGTACTGTAGTGAACAGAACACCAGTGGGGACAATCGAATGTATTTGACACGAAATTACAGAGCATCTCAATAAAATCTGAGAACCATATAGTAAATAGTTAATTTGCAAAATATCAATCCATCATCTCAAACTTTACTGTTCCTGTTGCAAACACCAATCCATTGTTTCAGATTTAATCGTTCATACCAATTGCGTTCCGTTCCCGTTATTTCCCGATCGACCTTCTACTGAAATACATTCTATGTCTGGCCATCGTTACATACTGCTTTTGCGGATATAAGTAACCCACATCACTACCACTTTATGTCGAAGCAGTGATCATTAGTTCTGTATATCCTGGAGTTTATGTATGTGTTATAATATATGTGTTTCCATTTTGTTTCTTTTTATAGATTTCTCAAATTAGAACTTCATCTGGATTAGGTGTTCAATGTAATGTTGATCTATTACCGTATGATTGTCCACCAGGTCCAGCATTGCCGAAACCTTTAGATGTTAGAAGTAATAGTTTCAGCAATCAGTATACTGAATTAGATATTAACGCAGCATTACAAATGAAATTAACTTACATATCATGTATGTGGCCGACAAAAAATACACCTACTGAGAATAATCTTATTAATGGGGATCATGATGAATTGAATAATAGCAATAATATTAGTTTTCAAAAGTTTAATGATCTGTTGTCTGATCAATCTATGACATATCCGGCTAGTTCGCATTCTACAGTCAATGAATTAGATGAGTATCAGGCATTAGGAGATTGCAAAGAAAGTGTACAACAGAAAATTAGTACAAACAATGATATCATCACTTCTCAACAGCAACAACAAAGACACTTTTTAAATGGATCAGAAAGAATTGAATGGGCAGGTAGTTATGTTGTGAATTTATTGTGTCAAAAACACGTAGTTCAGCGAAAAGATCTCTTTTCAATAAATTTGTTATCAAACTGTACAATTGTATATATAATTGTACAATTCGATAATAAATTCGTTGAAAAGAAATCACTGAACTTCGTGTTTCTAATATTTAAAATTTATTGTGTATTTCTTTTTCAGTATAATATTTGTTTGTATTAATCTAGATACTCATGTATTTTTTTATTGTTTGATGTTCGATTATGTTTTGGTGGGATTCTGGCGTCTGCTGGGATCACCGGGTAAGTAATAGTGAGGTTAGACACAGGGTATTAGCGAATGATGGTAAATCAGTTGATGAGGTTGTGAATCTTCATCGACTGAGATGTTTGGGCCACGTGTTACGTATGCCTGAACACCGATTACCACAACGCGCAAGGCTGTCTGGTGTTGGGGATGGTTGGGAGAAAGTTAGGGCCGGCCAAACCAAAACATGGCATCAGTGCTTGAAGTCACTAACTTCTAGTCTGAGCCATGTTGGTAGATGCAGACTACTTGGTTGGGGTCCGCGTGACTATCGTAACCAATGTTTGGAGACTCTTGGTGACATGGCTCAGAATCGAACACAATGGCGTCGGTGTATACACTCCCTGTCTTCCCTTAAACAAAGAGATTAAAATCGCTTCATATCTTTCTTCCTGTACTATATCCTTATTGCAATCCTTCTTTTATATATTACCACTTCTGAACTAACTACTTTTGTGAATCCGGTGTCCATCTTGTTGTGTTAATGAGATATGGCAACTGGGTCCGATACATATATGTGCCTGGTCCTACGTTGTAGCTTACTGACTGACTAGTGGGATTCTGATAGAAGAAGGCTTCTAATCAAATCAATAATAATAATAAACTATTATTGGTGATAAATTTTTACTTTGTTTTAGTTTAAATAGACCATTGTCTCCAATCAGACCTTTCTAGCATCCAACCTAAACTTCTTTTAATAGTAGATTAGTATAAAATATTGATTGAGACATATATGTGAACTGTTTTTGTGTACAATGCTACTTTACTTATTTACATAATAAAACGTCAAGAAAAGAAAGAATTTATGATCAAACTATTCTTTATAATTAAGAATGACTACTGTTTGTACACTGCTAAATTACTTGAATAAAACTTTTTACAATCGATAATAATGAATGTATTACCTGTTATAATAATGATATCATGAATTCAGCTCCTTGATAACTTATCTTCTGATTTTGGTTGTGAAAAAAAGCCAAAAGTTTGGTGTTTATGTAATTTTTCGTAAAAAAAACAACAACAAAGAAGCCATCTCTTCTATCTTATCAATGTGTTTGTATTGTGTATTGTTGAATTTTCAGTTTCTCCTAGACTATATTGGACAATTTCAATATATAAATTCAATTGCCTTAATCAGTAGATAAAGAAAAGTAGACCCAACATCTGGAAATATCACATATTTCCTGTTCATTGTCATATCTTTAATTTTGCAAATGATACCCAAAATATCTTTCACACTTATATTTGTAACTAATTTGTATATAAAGGTTCCAAGAATCAAGTTAACGACTGTTCAGTTCTATCGTATGGATAAGTATGTATATTTCAAACTGAGTGAGGGAGAAATTTTCACATATTAATTTATGATCGACTTTAAACTCTATAAAGTGTTTTCTTTCCAGTAAGCGGGTGCAAGTGAATTATGGTTCTCACATAATAAGTATGTAATTGAACTGTATATTAGAGAGAAACTTGACGATGGTAATAATGTATGTAGAAAGTTTTACACTACGCTAAATATATTGTTCGATACTGAAAGGTTTGAAGGTGCTAAAAACATATATAAACCTACCAGTAGATAAATAAATTTCTTTCACTTCGATTTAAACTAATTCAAAGTGTACTGATTAAGCAGTGTCATTTTTGTATCAAGTTCATTATACCAGTGTTTTAATCACTCCTAACTTTTGACCACAAATTTAACTTCATTAGTAAACAGATAGATCTCAAAAGTTACCCATAGATTTCGAATAACTTTCTTAAGTCCATAATTATTCACAATCTTCATATTTAGCCATTTTAGTACTTAACAGTAGCGATTAGTAAGACCAATCTTTATGTATGTAATTTGTTTGCTATTGTTTACAACTGAATATCAATTAGTTCTCATTTAATCTTCAGAAACATGAACAACCTTGTTATGCATATGACTAGTTGAACTGTAACTGATTACACTAGCCTTCTTTATTTTTCAATCTGTGTGTGAGCATTAAATGCGTACCGCGCTTTACCTCCTACTCTGCAAATGACTTGACGTCTTTCGAAATCTTCACAACAGATATGGTTAATAGGGTGATATACAGAGATTTCCGAAGTTGCTGATTTTTCCCACCTTGCTGTAATTGTGTAATCTCTTAGATCGAAAAATTTTTAAAATAATTCTTACCTAATGAACAATCAAAGCGTCGAAAGTATATAGGTCTAAAAACACATTCTTATTCTAAAACATGGTGGTTGGATAATCCAAGTGTGGGTTTACAACTAAGCGCGTGATCACAAATTAAATAAAATGTTATGCTCTATTCTTTCTAAGTGACAGTAATCCTGACTGTAAGTGCTTTGTGAGTAAATTGTTAAACTTGCGTCTATTAGCAACATATAAGGTCCACTAGCAACAACCTTTAACGTTTCCTAACTGATAATATCATGAACTGACATTAGTCAGGAAACCATTGAAAACCAGAATGCACTGAAAAACTTTCGTACTATTATATTACTCTTCAGCAATAAACTTCCATCATTCCGCCAGCAATTAAGCCCTAGACTTTTAGGCCTTTCGACGAACCCTTTACTTTCAGACTATTAAGTTGGGATCCAAATTTATACAATTTGAGCTTCATTTAGCTGGTGATACTACGTGACCATCATTCACTGCAACTGTTAATAGTTGTGTCACACTCGATTTGGCTGAGCTCTCCACTAGTCACAAATTCCCAGTAAAACTCCATGAATTTTACTCTAAAAGTCAGTCACTGGTGAGTACATGATTATTAGTAGTAATATAAAACGTTATAGGTAAATTGCTAGAACATGACTTCTGACCTCTTAGTTGTAGCCTCTCTATTTTGGTTTAGGCATTGATTAATATCAATACCCCTCACATAAAAAGATTTGCCCCAAAGTGTATAGTACATAAATTTTTACCTGTTTATTGAGATAATTTTAGAAAATTCAATTCATAATTTGATTTATTGAAATGTCTCAGGAAGTTTATTTTTGTTTGGTAACTTTACAATCAATTGACAAACTATTGCAGTGACTTTGAGTTGAATTGATCTGGAATTTTAAGGATATCATGAAATTTTCTTCACCACTTTATTTCATCTATCTTATTTCTATAAAAATGAAAGTGTTTTTCTCGTATATGTTTATATTTGACTCGATATTTACGTTTTTTCTACTCAACTTCTCACTTATAGACTCCACTAAAGGTGGTGTTCATTCTGTACTGATTGGTAATCGTGAATGGCTAAAACAAAACAACGTAATATTGCCCATCATTTTATCAAATGAATACCTACCGGATGGACGTGAATCAAATCGTCAAACTGCTGGCTATTGTAACATCCCAACATTGGACTCACTAGTTTCAGCTGATGAGTCTCAAGGTCACACAGTCGTTTACGTCGCCATTGATAATATTCTGGTCGGTCTAGTAACAATTTCTGATCCAATTAAACCGGAAGCTGATTTAATCGTTGCTGCACTACGCCATCGTGGTATACGTGTAGCTCTATTAACTGGTGATAATTATCGTAGTGCTAATGCAGTCGCACAACAAATCGGTATTGAGGAAGTCTATGCTGAAGTGTTACCTGGTCATAAAGCGGATAAAATAAAAGAATTACAAAATTGTCCAACTGTTCGTAGAAGAAATAAGAGAAATTCTACTATGATGTCGATGACGAAGATAAGAAATAAAAGACAGAATAAAATGAAGACAACGAAAGGTTGTATTTCAGATAATACTGATTGTGTAACTAACATTGTTGGAGATGGTGAGTTTTATATTATGTTTACATTTTATTAATAATATATCACAATAATAATAGTAAGCATGTTACTTAAAATAGATGGATTATGGCTATCAGGGAAGTCTATGATGCGTGTTTCGTTCTGTTTGAGATTAGTCAGCTGGATGTAATCTGCATTCCTGTTTTGACGTTCACATTGAGAATCAAATTCAGTACTTAATTTTTTAAACATTAAAGGGATATTATCTGAGCTATTGAGTTCAAACAGCCACTCACTTGTCTGACGGGCATCATGTTTATACGATTATAAGTAAAGGATTAAGTTATCCCATCGTTGATGTTTAGGAATAAAGTTTAATCAGTCATTATTAGTTATATGTATAAATCCTATGCGAATTTCCTCGAAATAGCCAGGATGAATATATAGCAGTAAAGATTGATCGACATTTAGTTTTAAATATCAACAAACGAATGGTTTAAACGCTTTTTTACTTTTTTTTTCCCCTAAAATGTACTTAATATTCATGGAATGTGTATAATATGGATGATAAGTAGATTTTTCCTGCAAACTATTTTTTAAAAATTATTCGAATTCTGCTATGTTTGAAGAGATTACTAATTTACCTAATCTGTGAAGCGAACGAAAACTCAGCGATTTAGTGACCAAATAAGCTAGCTATTCTGATGCATCCCAGCCCCGCTAACAAGAGAGTAGTCCAGGTTCAGAAGAGGGAAATGTATTCCTTAAGCATCCAGAATCACGGACAACAAGCACAATTCAAGAGTATATATACGGGATAAAAATGTTCTTGGGAAACGTTACAAAATAGCATATTAAAAGAGACAATGAACCAATGACATTTAAGGTCCTCCCAAGTGGGAAATACGATACGAAGGTGAAAATGAGCGCTTTTGAATAAATAAATAAATAAAAAGAAATTCATCTTTCCAAAATAAACTTGCAAAAATAAGACGTTTCTCAAGTGAGTTCTGGAGATTTGATATCACCAACAAACTCACTCATACAACCAAATGATAAGGTAGAGTATTGAGCAGACCATTGAAGTTTCAATCGTTAAGCCGCATGTTTGGCCTCTGACTCAGCTAATCCCGGTCTACATACACATAGACAAGTTGATTGTGTTGCGTGAATTCATACAAACAGATTGAATTGTAATTTAGTCAAGTATACGAGCATAAACGAGTTTAACTGATTTCCGTCATGTTGGTAATTTAATAAAATTCCTAGAATAGTTAAACTCGTGAGAGAGAAAAAAAAACTGATGCTGTTGTCTTTAATCCAGTGCGCACACACGCACACTCTGGTGCACAAATACCTAGTCGGTATTTTGATGAATTTAACAACTGTGAGTTAACTAACGTACATAGATTATGCAGATCTATCTAAGAATCAAAGAGTTGACTAAAATCTGTTATCGTCACTCAATGTAATTTATCTCAGTTATGATTTTAAAAAATACCTTCGATATCGTCATCATCAGTGTGGATGAGTGTGTGTATACACAAAATCGATGTAACTTCTCACACTCCCCTTCTTTTTTATGAATTTAAACTGTTGATTTTCAAGTTGTATTTAGTTTCGCTTTTCGTTTCTTTTTTTCACTAAGATGTTAAATGGATGAAACTATAGATTAGATTTTCTTCTAAAAGAAGAAAGAAACACTTCAGATCTTAACAACTAGCATTGTTACACGTCTACACGATTTATCCTTACCTTTGGAAAGATGATTTATTTCAGCCTTCCTAGTCATTTTGTCATTCATATTTGTAATATTGAGCATGTGTGCATAATCGTACAATATATCTATATCTCCTTTTATTTATGATGTCCGTAAATAATGTTTAGTCACGTTTTTGTTTTAACTAAGTTTCCACGTTTACCATCTGCGATTTGGGCTTCTCCACTTCACATTTCTCATCCTTTTTCTCATAAAATATTGAAATAAATTTCTATTTGGCTTTTTATTACCACCGCCCAAATGGAATTAGCCCAAATCAAATATACGAAATCAAACAGAGGATTTATTTTCATAGATTATTCATCGTTCGTTTATGATGAAGCCAGATCGTTGACCTATAAGTTTACATTTTTAAACACTGTAAAACAAAATTATGTGTAATACTTCATTCATTTGGCAAAAATACCTTATACAAGGGGATTTTAATGAAGATGTCTCTGCTTCTCAGTCATGTCAAAATTGAAAAAAATTAGTGTAATTACCACTAATCATTAATTTTAGTTGGCCAATTAGTTTCATTTTTTAAAAAGTAATAGGTAGTTTTAGTAGTAGTGTTGTGAGGACAGACATAAGTAGTATGTAACAGCGATTGGAAGTGGAATGCTTACCAGCGAAAGTTTGAAATCAAGATAGAGGAAGGAAAACAGAGAGCAATCAAAATAACAACAGGATTGGAAGAATGATGAAGTATGTAATGGATAACTCAAGAAAGATATGTAAATGATGTATTTAATGTATGATTTTACTAAGGCATTGTTTGATTTTGCATAAAACAGTAAAATGGTTCATCGTAGTTGGGTTTTCACTCACTACAACGGGAGTACTATTATAGTGAACAAAAATTCAAATGAGGAAGATCAATTTATTGTTTAATGCCAAATGGCAGTGTGTTCGTAAAATATAAAAACGAAACATTAAATACATTGTTTTCAAATCCACCTTCAATTGTCCTTCACATGCTTCATGATTCTTTCTATTCCACTATTATTACAATTGTTCTCTGTTTTCCTTCTTGTTCACTTTATTTCAATATTCTGCTGCTAGGCATTCCACTTCTAATTGGTGTCACATACTACTTATATCTGTCAACATAAGTAGCATACACCACAACATAGTAAGTAATTGTTTATAAGAAATATGTTTGTGTTATAAAAAAGAATAGATTAACTTTTAATACCCATTATATTTATTTCATGTATAATTTTAGAACCGAATTGTCAAATCTTCAATTCGAAAATATCTAATAAACCAAATCATTCCAAACTCAAATCATTAAAGAAAACGATTCCAAATAATAATAATAATAATAATGGTAATTCATCTTGTCATATAGAAAATGAATTGAATTTATCCAATGAAGAATTAACTGATGATGAATTTAATCATACTATTCAAAGTACACAGGGTAAATATAATGAAAAATCTGTAAAAACTACTTTATCTATTCAACAATTCATTAAACAGTGTATTAATGTAATATGTTGTTTTACTAGTCAACATTATAATTATTATTCTACTTTTGTAAAATCATCAAATTCTTTAACAAAACATCAAAATAATTCTTTTCATCAACGTCAAATAGAACGTCATCATAAAATGAAATATCGAAAAAATAATTTACGTGTATCACTTAAAAAATCTCAACGTCAATATGTTGCAATGATTGGTGATGGTGTTAATGATAGTCCTGCATTAGCTCAAGCAGATGTCGGTATAGCTATTGGTTGTGGTGCAGATGTTGCTGTTGAGACTGCTGATGTTGTACTTATACGTAATTCATTAATTGATGTAGTTGCTGCTATTGATTTATCGAACAAAACTGTACGTCGAATACGATGTAATTTTATTGCTGCTACATTATATAACCTGATAGGAGTACCTGTTGCTGCAGGTCAGTTTATTTGCTTGTTTGTTTACTTGTTTTTTTTTTAATTGTTGATTTTAACCTTAAAAAATGAGATAGCACTGAAATATCCTTGTTGTTGATTCTATAAAGTTCGTACTAACGAAGATTTTGTAATTAAAATAAGTGTTAAGATTCATTTACCTAGATGTAATCTTTTTCTCTAATCTCTTTTACTTTTCTCATATTTTATTGATACCGACAAAAGTTCTTCGTTCGACTTATTATACAAAGAGATTTCATACTTTTGGCATTATTCGACATTTACTTTTACGATTTGTAAATTCTTGTATATCATCTATTATTCTTCATTATTGTTCCTCATTATTCTTTCCTGGGCTTTTGAGTAAATGTTTCACTGTGTTGTGCAAAGCGCTAAAGCCAGTTATTAGGGCGTGTGATGAATTTGTTAAGGTCATTATAAATATGGTTGTGAATAGACATTTAAAATCTTGCAAACTCCTGGCAAGTATTATCAAATACTAACCATCCACTTCATTCAGATCTTTCTCTTAATATATCTCCTGGTAAAACGAGACGCCAATACATTAGAATCCATGCACGCAAGCTAAGATATAAAATTTCTACAAAACCTTATCTAGCAAACATGCTATGTGGCGTACAGGTTGTAAGAGCGAACCTAGTTAATAACTTGCATTCTTAAAAATATTTCATTGAATTCCAGATAATCAATTTACCTATTTCATGTATGTGGTTATTGATTACTTTGTTTTTCATTGAAATACTGCTTGCTGAGAATTCCATGTTGTACTAAACGTATAATCTTGAATAAAGCCAATAATAATAATTTATGCCTGCTAAAAAGGGCTCAGATTGTATAGTTTTTATTAGAAACATGTTAGTTTTTTTCGTTCAAAGATTACCTCAATAGCATTTCTTCAGTTTATGTTCCCACAGCGACATTCCGATTATCTGATTGGTTGTTGTCATTTAGTCTACTAATTTTATTATATCTCAAGGTCATCGAGTGTTGGTATATGAACAAAATTGTGTCCATTACAATGCCTGACCTGTATTCGGAATACAAAGCTCTCTTGAAAGTCATATCTTCTATATCTCATATTGACGTATGAGATATGAATATCTAAGTGGTGTCGTATGTCAGTTACTGTTCTATCGGGTGCACCATAGTCTGTCCGTATAGGAATAATCTCGATTCTTCGTAAGAAGTAATTACCATAGGGCTAAACAAAAATCTGATTCCTAGTCGATTTTCCTGGAAATTAACAGTTCTGCTGCACAAATTATAAATTATACTACCTTACTAACGATAATCACACAAAAAAAATAATCAGTGACGTTCAGCTTTCAACCACTACTTTTCAGGTTCGAACCCTGCCTCACTTTGCTTATATATTTGGCGCACTCTTGTACCAATATTTATGTGCTCAAATAAATAAATAAATATCATATAAATAACATAACCCTTAATCGGTATCAGATTCTAAACAGTCACTAATTGGTCGCTAACAGTCTTTTAATAGGTACACATTAATGGATCATTGACTTAGTAATTAAATCACTTGGTAGTCAACAAGTGTATGTGATAACTTCGAAGTCATCTGCACCTTAGTGAGCTTAGACAACCGGCTAGAATGATTGACCTTCACACAAACAAAATAATACGTTATTGTAAATAAATGACTAGACATTAAAGGTTTCGACGGTTACGTCATTTTCAATATTAATTAGATCTAATAATTGTTCACCTACTTTTATATTGATAATAAGTAATATGGATAATGGAATGAAACATTTACACAATTTTATAAGAATAGTACGCATACATCTTCAAATTTCACTATATATATATATATATATATATATATATATATATATATATATATAAAACAGTTGATTTGTGTACGCCACATTACAAATTTCCTGAATAATAGCATTCAAACTAAACATAACTTTTAAATGAAATATTGAAACTACCATTTAGTTTTAATTGTTGAGATTCTCGCGAATACAAGTTCTTCTTTCTTTTCTAAAATTGTTTATTCAAATCTTAACAAAAGTTTATATCAAAATTTTTATTATTATTCCTATTATTCTCTATTCAAAAATCACAATATTGATTAAATCTAGTGTTTCCTTTCGTCGTTGTTTTATTTATTTATTTCATTTAGGTTGTTTAATGCCATTCGGCATCGAATTGACACCATGGTTTGCATCAGCTGCAATGGCAGCTTCATCTCTTTCTGTCATATTTCTTTCATTGCTTTTAAAACGTTGGCAAAAACCAACTCCAGCATCTCTTATCTGTCCAGAATATGTGAGATTCCTTAATTCACGATCATATGAAGCTAAGGTAATACTTTAATTGGGTAGTAATAATAATTATTCATTGTTATTTTTTTTCATTACTTAATTATTATTAGGTTGGTATATTTAACAATAAATGGTACACATCACCTTACCTCATCAATTTCGGCTATCAACCTTAAGATGTGGAAGTACAGAGCTAGCACACGAGAAACTATTTACAAAAACGCCGCGTACAATTGACCTCGAACAGTTGTTCCATGAGTTGTGTAGGCATGCTTCCAGGTTTTAAAGACTATCAACCCTAATCTACTTTCCTTCTTAATCCTCTCAGGAAGAAGTATCTTTTCAGGGTTGAACCAACAGCTAAATAACAATCGCACTCATGTTTTTGACCACACTCGAAATCACTTAGAATCTTTGATGACAATCAATGACGAACAGCCTTCAGTGAAATTTGGATCCAGATCTTTTTATCAGGCTACTAACCGTACTTTTAAAGTAAAATACAGTTATGCAACACAATTTTGATATAAAAGAATGATGGAAATATTTTCTTCTTCCACAATATACTACTATAATACAATAATAGATCTGGAGGACCAAAATTAGACTACCATCAAGCTGAATTCTCGATCGATGGGTTACGCACAGACTAGATCATGTTATACCCAATACATGATTTTATTTATTTATTTGAACACATAAACATTGGTACAAGGTGGCACCAAATACATATGCGCTACACAATAGCAATGAGACCAGTAGCAGTTATCACTGATTTGTGTGGAGGCTGTGATACTACCCGAGGACTCAAATAGAGGTAGGTGGTTTTCTTAGGTAGCTACACCCCGGGCGTTTGATTTAGAGGTCTTATCCACAAGGTAGTGGAGCGACGTAAGGAGATGCAGTCCCATGGCAGCCGGTGAACAACGATTGGCTCATACGCCGTTTGTTCCTTCAGGATCCTGGAGCCCATGTGCACCATTGGTTTGGAATCAGGGTTTTCCAACTCCCCTAGATGGACCCTCCATATCCACCAACATGGTTAAAGCACCGTACATTCTATTTTCGTCCTCTCAATTCCTTAAAAAAACACCCCTGCCACGAGGAGGCAGTAAGTAGGACTTCCCTGACACTGGCTGTATACACGTGGTCATGTGATAACATTTCGAGAGGGGGAGCTGACTATCCTCGCCCTCGGCTGTATCCGGGTATTTGGGGACGATACGTGATTCACTACCGAGAATGGAGAACCAGAGTAGATTAAACAATACTTTATTTCACATAATAACAAACTGTTTACACTGAGTGAATCGAAATCAACAACACGATAGGAAACCACTGTTAATAGGCTGAATGTCTGTTTTTTCCCACGCTCATTGGCTAACCACTGTTTGCCTTCATTAGCTAAGCATCAAAGTTTCAAACTTGTAATCTATTTTTTTTAAATCAAAGCACTAGAACTACAGCCCCCACGTAACTGGAATGTTTTACCAATAATTCCTTTAGTCATAAGCGACATAGGACGTGACACATATATACATCCAGTGTTGTACCATATAATGGCAAGATGCAATTCTCAAGATAAGTACCAAAGTAGTGGAAGCAGTAGTACTAGTGTAGTGAATAGAACACGAGTGGGGACATCGATATAGAGAAGGTAGTTGGTAAAGAATAAATGTTCAGAATAAAGTGTATAAAATAATTTTAGAATTCAGAAGACAACGAGTGTATGCGCGAAATAGATTCAGGAAACTCTCAATATTAGTGTTCCAACCTATCATACAGGATTAACATTTGCTGAAATTATCTTTGTAAAATGACAGAGTTTTTAGTCATCTTCAGAGGTAGTAACGGAAGCAATAGATGAAGCAGTTAAAAACAGTTTATCAGTTTCCATCATAATGCAATTATAGTTTCAGTTGTCCATTGATATCCTATAACTCAGTTTTTACCTTATGTTATGCAGTTAAAATTTGAACTTCATCGTCAATGTCAAGTACTGTGTTCGAGTCCCGATATGAACATCAACACTGCAGTGCAAATACGTCCAGCTGATGAGTCCTAAATAGGACCAAACTCATGTAAAAGACTCCATTACTAGCCACCATATAACTACTAAAAATAATTGCAAAACTCATTAAATACAAATCCATACAGTTTTTCCCTAAACCACTGTCAGAATAATCGACTATCTCATTATTAATAATCATACAAAATCCTCATGTTAGATGTTGAGAGATATTCGTAAGAATTTCCTCTATTCCTAAATCCATTCTGTAAAAAATGAGTTGATATTGTTTTGCTCTATCAAAGAATTAAACATGATGGAACTTTTTCAAGGTACAAACTAAACAAGAACCTTTTGTAAAATCACATATGACACACTTATATGGGTACTATATCCATCTATCGCCTCGTAATCTTCAATTTTAGATTCATGTATACTGATGATTTAAATTTCTTCGATATTGTGTTTAACACATAAGATTACTATATTATGATGTATAAAATCGAAAATACTTATAGATGGTGAAAAAAGTCAAAAGCATAGTGTTCTAACTGTCGTTCATTTTTAAGTTTAAGCCTTCAAACTTAGAGTACGTAATTGTCTCATACCTTACGCTTCGTCATAAAATTGTTTCATGTATCCAATCATCTGTTTAATTGATTTTCCTTCGATGGTCAACAGAAGTACAAAATTTTCGTCATTGCTGATCTGTGTGCTGTTTTCAGTTATTCTAGACTAAACTTTTATGGAGTCTTGAAACTTTTCTCAATGTTCATCTCCTAAATCACTGGTTATTTAACAAAACCACTGTTCAATCTTTTATTATGCATACTGTATCTTAAATAGTTGACATGAAAGAGTGCAAAACTTCTGATAAAATCAAGTGTAAACATCTAAAAGATGATTGATATATATATTGGGTCATTTATGATCAGTCGTAGATGAACACTTTGTTTGTTTATATTTTGTTTCTTGCCCCTAAGATTTTCAGAAATTTCATCATTTGTTTTTATTTATTATCGTATTACATGTTAATAAATATAAAACACATTTCTATTAATTTCTTATTTGAAATAAACTTTGATTAAAAGGTTATAACTTTTAGTTTCATCACATTTTTAATCTTCGTCGAAATTTCCCACAGTTGAACGAATTATCAATATCTTTTAGATTAACAAGCATTTTTTTTTTGTCTGTCATTATGGACTACATTAATGAAATAAACACTGTTTCTATTGTGTAAATTACTTTAATTTATGTAGGGAAACCTAATAGTGATCATCAATGTGTGTGTTTTGATTTTATATTGTAGTTTCCATTATTGTTCTGAGTTCTTTAAGTGAACAACTGGATGTTGTACACACAAACAGCATCAAATCTTAGTTTATATAACATGTTTTCCAATTCTGATAATAGTACAACTTTTGAAGATTATATCTTATGTGAGATTGTATGCTAACACTACATATACACTTCATTTTTAGATTAAATCCGGACAAAGACGTGATAGCCAACTTTCATCAGGACTGCATAGTTTGACCGATAAAGTATTATCATTACGTGATAATTTACGCACTGTACTTACTCGTCATCGTATTTCACCAATACACACTAATATTGAAGCAGTAGATAATCAAAATTTACTCGATACCTACAATAATGACGGTGACAATGAATCTGAAGATGAAATAATGAATACACAAAATCCTTTCATTGAAAAATCATTTATTTCATTAGGTACACAAAATTTTACTGATAATCAGAACAATATTTCTCTGGAGATACGAAAAGCGCGTAGCTGGAGTTCTCGAACATGTCGATAATCATTTCTATCATATTTTTTCCAAAGATTAGTTTTCTCTGTTTTTGTATCGTTTAATTGGATGAATAGATGTTAGTACCTAACTGCTTTTTTTTCTTACCCCAAACTGATTTAAATAAATAATCTATGATATATTCCTACAGGTCAGTCGATAGTTGGCATATTTAACAGCCTTAATGCATTTCGTCTTGTTTGTCGATTTTATTTTCCTCACTTTTGGTGTCTCATTGATTCGTGTCAACTACACAAATTCTCACTGCCGATTTCCATTGGAATTACTCTGCTCGGTCCCTCGATCTGTAATCTTATTCTACTGTGTCTTCTATTTTGCTTCCTTTAATTTCTTACTATCTGTAAAGTTGTTAATGCATCCAAATATCACTTTTTCATATTATTCCCCTCCTAATTCTTGTTTTCGCCCTCAAATTGTGTTATTTCTTTTTCTGACTATTGTGATATACCATTACTTACTGATAGGAAAATGTGTATATGTTTGAAAAGGAATATTCGCTTTCTGTGATTCCGTACATAATATAAACTTAAGCAAACAATATTGGTGTTAATATTTTGCTTTTTTTACTGAATTTTGAAAATAACAAAGTTAATTTACTATAAATAGCTAAATATTTTTTTGTGTTGATTGGAGTGAAACCATAACATTCGAAGTGAAACTAGTTGACCATAGTCAACATAGGGCTAGAAATAAATGTGCACTGGTACAATTCGATGCATATTATAATATCAGATGGACAGAAAATTCATTAGTTGTTAAGCAAAGTAAGATAAATGTATCCAAATTTAGTAGAAAGGTAAAAATAAGAAATATAGCTCAGGAGACAAATGAGATCTAAGAATGAAAAGTACTCTAATTGATTGTTTATAGATGAGCAGTGAATAAACGTAACTGCTACAGTAAGATCCAATATCTTCAGCCATAAAGCACTATTCCGTGTCTGTGAACCAAGAAGTCTGGATTTATCGATACGGTACAGTCCAAAAATTAATGGCTTTAATAAAATTACGCTATATCTTTGATATGGCTCGGAAATGGTCACAACTGCACAGATCCAGAGTCTTAATATACCTTCATACATACCTTCCATCCATTCTTTCTTAACTCTATTCTCAATGTTTGGTCTTCATGATAATAGCTAGTACATTATTTCGACCACTTTGTTGTTTATCTTGTAGAGCTAATGTAGTGTGGCAACTTGGGCTAACACATTTTTGTACCACTCTCTCCATTGACCTTAACTGATTGACTTTATCTTCCATCTTACTCCTGTCCTTAAGCTTAACCTCAATATGAATCAGTTACAAGTTTCATCATACGCGAATGGTCCTTGAATTTGCCTAAAATTAGATTCTTGCCAACTACAAATGTTCTCTACTTTTATAGACTATGTTTTGGAGCTGCAGAGCAATAAGGATTTGACCTCTACGCAGCAGAAGTATGTCTACTGTCTGCCAGGCATTTTGTAGGTTGGGAAACGGCAGGTGTTTTGTACTCACCAAAACCCAGTTATTTGGTCATTACGCCTGGAGATCTCATTCTTCAATAGGAGGGATCCAGAAACTAGTATATGGAATGCTTTTACCATTACATTTTGGTTACATCATGTAAGCTATGTCAAAGATGGTTGTTGCTAAATATTCGTAACTTCGAATGATACAAGTTTGGGCCACAATAGATATTACTAGGTAGCATGTTCTAAATGAGTAACGCAAATTGATTCTTGTCCAAACATTCGCCTTCATATCGTATGTACCGGCACTTTTATCCAGTCTTAGTATACTTATCTCGTCGGTTTGTTACTATGATGAACCCATACACCGAAGTACTACCTCCTATAGATACGTACCGTCCAAGTGACTAAATCTTCTTTGCTCTAGCCAACATTCCATGTCGAGCCAGATTTTCAGATGCCACATAAACTAAACGCCCCACTTTGTCGTCTACCCGCTTTTAGATCTCAATTACTGAGACTCCTACATTGCCTACGTGGAAACGTTTACTACCGGGCAGCCAACCTGATATAGTGTGTAACCTATAACTCTTATACGGCTGTAAAGAATTATATAGTTTGTTTTTAGCACGTAAGTAATTCGCCGCTGCTAATCGTGACAAACACATCTAACAGACTTCTACTTGACGACTACAAATTCGATGGACAAGATAACCTGCACGAGTATCTCCTAGGTTTATGAACATCATCTCGGAGCAACCCAGAGATTCAGTATAAATACATACATGATAATGGGCTCATCCAGCAATAAATTTGGTCAGAGCTAGTTTTAAGTTTGAAAACCAATGGAACGTAGCACAAACACTGGAAATAACTAGTAGACCATGCATGAAACAGAACCAAACTGTGACGTAAACATGTCCGTTTTACAACACGAATATGAGTCGGACCTACCACCGCTAACTGATGGCCGATAGGTCACCGACTTATCGACATAGATGTGAAGGAAACAGTAACTATGCCCATCCACCGACTATCTCGATTTGCGATGTCTGGCTCAGGTGTAGAGACTGTATGAAAGCCAAGGGTTGTCGGAAAGGACGGTGTCAGTCCGTGATGTCATGGACTGGGCCATATAAGCGGATGGGGAGTACCCAGCTGGTGTTTTCGTGATCGCTATACCCAACAGTTATCAACCTTAGATGACAGCTCAAGCTGTTCACGATGGCACATAACCTGGCTACCGCACATATCATACCTCTTCGGAATGTATCCCTCATCTTTTCTATCAACATGATCACATCCACTACTCCTACTCTAGGGTTCGTCTTGGCAATCTTATATTTTCGGGCTAACGGACTATGGCAACTTGAGATGGCGTACCAATGTGCCAGGTTCGACAAACGTTAATAAAAAATGTGTACGACTTGTTACATAGTCTTAACATGGTAAAGACAAATGCGAACCTACTGCTTTTAGAAAACAACTTTTAGCTCTCCGACCAATGCGGAACAGGCAACAAACACTACGAAGCCATTAGAACATTTAGAATTCCCATTGTGAAAATCAGGACACATGTAAGCGAACAATTGATTCCAAGCAGATCGTCACGAATATAAATATTCACGTCCTATTAGAATATTAAGACTGGATTGAGAACTGCGTCAATTGCAATTTTACAAGAATCCACCAGGTAGTGTCATGCCACTTAGTGTAAGACAACTGACTATGGAATTTCTAGTAACTAGGCAATGTAAACACTCAAAATTGGAATACTCGGGAGTGCATTGTATTCTCCTGTAACCAAATTTCTAACTAATTCTTAAACGTTCCGAAAACATTTCGCTAATAACTAAGAGGCGAAGATCACATTCACTTACATGTCTGATGGCTTTTTCAAACATACTAGAGTATGAATTGTGTGCAAACCAAGCATTAACAAATAGATGCGCTAAGTTTTATTTGGACAGAACTATGGGTAGCTTGACAGAACACGCAACAAATTAGCAGACTAGCTTACCTACCGCTGATAAAAATGTTAAACGAAGCATGTCTGATCTACCGTTGGATCTGATTAAAACTACTGTTGTGAACTTTGACTACAAATTTCAGTAGGGTTATTCAGAAACGCAATGACACCACAATCCTTTGATCGCATGAGACAAAGAGAAAGAAATGAACTCACGTCGATTCGTGGTTAAATATTTACTCGGAAAAAGAGAGATGTTATGTAGCCCTTAGTGAAAAGCATTAAGAGAACTACCATGGTCATGCATGTATCCAATATATTCTGTACATAAGATGAAATCAACCGAACAAGTCAAAGCCCATCGATTCATCAGAATCGTCATCTGAAACTGGTTTCTTTTCTTCTTTTGCAGGTTCTTTTCCCTTTTCGGCAGCACTGTTGGCTGCTGCAGCTGGTGCCGACGCTGGGGCAGCAGAAGCAGGTGCAGCAGACCCCAATGACATTAGCAGGTCTTTGACATTCTTTCCGTTTAGAGCCGTTGCAAAAAGATTGGGAAGATACGATTCAACAAACTTGATGTTTGCTGCCTTCAGGATGGTATTTATTTTGTCAGCTGAAAATACAGAATTACTATATTAGCTCGAAAATAACACTACTCTTTACACAAAATATGCATTATATTGTGGCACTGACTACAGAGCATTTATGTCACTACACTAGCAAACAAAATAAACGACGCTAATAGTATGAAATATTCGAAAGGTAAAAAATACCAACTTTATTTCAACTACCTGTAACGTCGATATCATCGTCAGCTAACATCAAGGCAGCGTAAACACATGCTAACTCGCTTTTGGACATAGTTAAAAACGTGAGCTGCTACAAGCCTTAGCCACGAGGGGAGCACCACGTTTGTAAAGCACCGACCCACTACTTTAAACAAAGGAGAAACACTCTTCAACTGTATCAATAAAATCTAAAGTGCCGTTTTATAATCTATATAGATTCACATCATCAAATAACAATTATTGATGTTTCTAATGCTATGCGACCATTATAGACGCGATAATATGTTTTGAATGGACTGTATAGACCGATATTAGAAACTTGGTCTGATTTAACTTGTCAAAGAACGTAACTCACTGTCCTGATTGTTGCCAAACAAACAAGTCAACAGGTTGGATTGGAATTTTTCTAACCTTGCATCAAAGATTGTTGGACTTCTAATCTCGAACTCCCTAGGACAAAGTATTCTTTAAAACCTTTACACCCCTTTATAACTGGTCTACCTGATAACTGCACTCAAAAAAAAACTTTACAAAAAGGAACAAAGACATTTAAAGGGTGGAAGTCAAAAGTCTACTCTGGTTGAGAGATTACTGGTTTATCAAAGTGAACAAATGACTAAATCCTCCAGAGGGTGTCCTTCTTTAGTCTGTCTGGTAATATTCCTCATGAGGATTGTAGTGGTGAGTAAGGTGTGGACACTGATGCTGAACTCACTGGTTCCACTAGGCATGCCTTGCAAAAGACGCTCGGTTATGCATATGCACCAGCTCGCGAGTAAGGATGATGTTCTGTGTATCCCTCGCAACTGCTAGCCAGGTTAGAACAAACACTTCTTGACACATCTATTGATTTCAAAGTACGTCTTCGGACCCCTTCATTTCTGACTTCTGATTTGACCGGGTCGTTACAATTCGATCATAAAAGTATTACATGTAAAGGTGTTGGTAAACTTTAAATCCCTGTAGCAGTTTAGGATTATACACCGAAGCCATCGTTCATACTACAGAGGAATACTCATAAAATTATCGGAAGTAAGCGCACTATCTAGAACAGTTGATGTCGTGCTACTGGGAGATGAGTGGTTGTGCCACTCAATGCTTGTGTTCGAAGAATCAAACTAGGTAGATCTAAGTCTAAAACACCAATTTTTCTTGTATAACGAAGTCATCAAAAAGCAACCCTGAGTTTTTCAACTTTTTTACGAGGAAGGACGTGTACACAATACTGAATATCCTAGATCTAGACTGCTCAGCAGTACACAGCTCACCTTTCAAAACCGAAGGAATTTCCGGTCACTAGAACTACATAAACCTTTTTCCTAGATGGCATCTAACTCACTATTCTGTAAGAATGCGCGAATCTTTCTTGCCTTCCTCTAGCTATTGTCTTCCG